TTTATTTTCAACACTTTTATATGAGATAATAATTCGATTTTCGGGAATTTCCCATTCATCAATGATTAATTAATCTTAATTGATTTCAAATGCATCCGCAAAGAGAAATCTAAACAATTTTAATCAGAATATCGTATCGTAATGTAGTATCAGAAAGAGCTTCCAAACTTCTGTTTATGACCTTCTTCTTCCCTCGATGGCTTGGTGGAAAGTATTGGTTATTTATTTTCTTCGTATCCTGTATACGTTCCGTTTGGTAAATAAAAATCAATGAACAAAAATCAGTTAATCTGATATCGGAGTAGATGGCGAAAGAACAAATGATAGAAAGTAAACTCGAATAAGTGAAAAATATATATCCGCGTAATAATAGCTATCACATAAAACGATATATTGTATTAATAGAATTACGTTTTTAGATAAAAGTAAACGAAACGTTAGAACTAAATCTCTGTGCATACTTTAGAGAAAAACAATATAAATGAAGGAATTCAAGATGGAAAAATTGTTTTATAATTTTATGTTTATTACGTTTGATATGTAGAAAAAAATATTACATATAGCGTTAACTTCATTACAAAATGAATTTGCAGAAATTAATGGAAAAATGATAAAAAAGAATTATCCCATTATAATAAGTATAATGAACAATGTAGGACTTCGCATCTTTCTCATACAAGTACCTCATATTTACTTCCATATCGAAATTTATTGTATAATAATTTTTTTACTTATTCATAAACGATATCCATAAGCAGATAGATAAATATCCTCAGAGGTTTATCAAAGATATCTATCAAAGATATTTAAAATAAACGATAGCATGGTGCATTTGAAACAATTCAGTTCTTGTATTACTTCGTTTATTTATAAAATAAAGCTAATTGTTTATGGCTGCAATCTCTTCAACTGTAATAGATGAGTTGATCAAAAATAATATATGACGATCAAATATTGATAATGTTTCAGTATCTATCTAATGTTTTCTCCATCTTTACCGCTTTGCGTGTTGTGGTTGAAAATGATTGAAAATAAATGCCTATTAATAGTAATATTGTCCACATTCTATACATAACGTAGTATTATTAGTTTTTTCGTCAATAAAATTACAGTTACGAAATAAACTCTGTAAACAACAAAGTAATATATGTAAAATAAAATGAATTATTATCGTATTTTTACCGTGTATTGTTTCTTCGGTCATTAATTGTAATTATTGAACAATTTGTAATAATTATTGTCAATTATTGGCAGCTTTCGCATTATTATTATATACTGTGAGATTCATTTGTATTTTACGTTAGTGTTAATTATATTAGAGTCTGCCTGATGTTTTGGAAATGCGCGTTCAGAAGCAAGTCCTTTCCGTTTAACTTCGAATTTATAATTCCACCTTTTGTTGTTAGAATCATCATTATTATTCGTATTACTATGTTCAATTATATAGGCGAACACTGCATGATTTCACCAAGCAGGATCAACTTACTATCAAAAGTGTAAATCTGTATTAAACTTTTCGTAGAAGTATCTCTCCGTGGTATGTAATAGCAGTAGTGAAGTCTTTTACAAAAAGACGAATGACAACTGCTAGTTATAATTATTTACTTTAAATCTGCATTTAGAAAATATAGATTTTGTTCCTCGTCTTTATTCTCATGTATTAATGATCTTCTATTGTTTGTACAATAGTTAGTCTTACGATAGTCCATTCGAGTAAAAATGTTAGAATGACATTATTCGAACGTTATTCAAATTCTATACGTAATGACGTGTTTCTCGGGAATACAATTACAATAAAGATATACGAAATAAAGTATCATAAAATAAAATCAATTGTCATTACGTAATTTTCATGCTTGAATTATTTGTAATTGTTCTGTCTGTAATAATTATTGACAATTAACATCTTTTGCATTGTCAGATTAATGTGTGAAACTATAGGATTTGAAACTGTGGGACTATGATTGGAGATTGAATTTACAATTTTCAGGTAAGCTCTGAAACTAAAAACGGATCTGCGCTATACATATAGTGAAAAAGGCGACAGGTGGAATTCGAATACTAGATTGTATAATTGCTAATCTTCGTATTCTATCCATTTAGCCATTGTGGACCTTACCGAAACATGAAAGCAGATAGAAAAAATGTATATTACAGAATGTTTTCTAGTGCACGAGGCCATTTGCAATGCTGGCGAAATTTTGGGACACGGCTCTATTTCGTATCAAATATTCAAGTAAAATTAGGTCTATGTAACTAAAACAAAAAAAAAAAAAAAACAAAAAGAACAAAACAATAGTAGATATCTTCATGATAAATCCGTTAAATACATTCTTATTTTATTGCAAAGTTTTGGAACGCTGAGAAAGAAATTACAAGGAACGAGGAATCCATAAAGTAAATATCTTTTGACATAATATCCGTTACGGTTATATTTTCAATGTATTATTGGATTTTTTACAAAATAATTTGCACCATCGGATTTATCGTCAAGATGAATTAATTTCATTAATTTGCGTAATCAGTCATTCTCTGAAAATTGGAAATATTTGACCAGGATATTCGTCGAAATAGATTTTGCAGCGCCAACTTTGAACGTAGCTGATAAAGAGGAATAAAGTAAAGTATTTTTACGAGAACTACACTTATACTTTAATTTCGTCAAAATCAATGATTGGTACATCCCTATGTTATCTTTCAGTTTATTCATTCTAAATAACGTTTTCTTAGAAAAGCAATTGTATGTGAATATTCTATTTATTGTCAAATTTACAAATTTTAATAATAAAAATAAAATTATTTATTCCAATAAAAATTTGGTATGGCAGAATATATTTTCATCATTATTTTTCTACGTTACTATTTTCAATTTTACACTCCTTTCTATTGGACAAATTAATAACTTCAGAAGGCTCACTTTCTTGAAACATATGCAATTTATATCTTTTTGACTTTAAATCAGCTATCTGTTTATGAAGTTCCATATTGTCATCTAAAAATGTATGCATTCCATCTCGTTTCTCCAATTGTTCAAGGCTATATCCGATAGTCCGACGATTCAAGAGCCATGGTTCCGGCGATGGTGTTGGTGGTAATGGTTTTGGTTTCATGGGATGAGGTAATCTATAATGAATTTTTGTTGTTGTTCGATAATCCATTTTACGAGCTTCTTCAGCATCGTATATAATATCTGTCAGTGTCTCTTGTTCTTCTTCGGGCCTGTAATTTATTTCCTCAAATATCAAAAATATATTTTCTTGAAAGAAATATATTATTTTTCTAAATAATAAAAAAATGTGGCAAAATAAAAAATGATAGTAGTATAATGGAATAGAATAGAATAGGATAGAATAATAGTATAATAGAAAATGGTATAGTTAAAAAGTTTTTGCGAAAAGCTAATAGAAGATCAAGTGTAAAATTTTTACAAAAATTGGTTTTGTAAAATTCACTAATTAAAATTGATCAATTAAAAATGACTAAATTCAATAAGTGCAGGTGCACTTTATCAAAATTTAGTTTCGTATTTTTCCATGTAATGCTGATTTTCTTCAACTTCGTGTTCTTAAACAATGTTAAAATTAATCTATTTAGGCACAACGTTAATTTATCCAGTGGAAATGGATAATATAAATAGCATTGTAATTAACTTTAACTATAACTTTAACATTAACTTTTTTAATTTTCTCATACCTATGAACTTAAAAAAGAATACAATACACATACAGCAAAATTTACTTCTGCCTCATAAACGTACAGCACAGTATTCCATATCTTTTGTTTTATTCTACATTTTAAATTACTTTTTTTACGAAGAATTTATTAATTTTCTTTTTAATTGTATTAGCAATAAATATGAATAAAACATATATATATATATATATATATATATATATATATATATATATATAAAATATATATATATATATATATATGTGTGTGTGTNAAAAAAAAAAAAAAAAAGAAACAAAATAATTGAAAAATAGTTTGGAGTGCAAAGGATTAATGAGCTACTTCCTGTAACTATTTTCTAACAGTTTGAATAACAATAATTATTATTATATCACATTAGCATCCTCAACTTCATGTATCATTATTTACAAATATCGAAAATATGAAAAGTTAATTTATAAATACATACTCTATTGATGCAAGGGACTTCATATGAAGCAAAGTGCGTTGCGGATAAATTGGTTTGTACAGATCTTTTAATTCTATCTGAGATAACATCGCTTGCGTCTCTGTAATTCCTGTACAAGCAGGTTCTGGTCCAAATCTTTGATACGATGATTTATGAAGATTACCCTTTGGTGGGAATATATATTTGTTATCTCTTGGTTCAGCCAATGTATGCATTTGCCTATAAATATCAAACTTTAATCTTATTCAAAATCTATAAGTAACGAAATTTTAACTTATCGCATACAATGTAACATCGGGAAAATCTCTTGGCAATGAATTTTGTGCAGTTTTTCTGTATTAATTCAAAATAATTAACAAGATATAATTAACATCATGAACTTTTTTTATTGTTTTCATACTCAGAATCCAATACCAAGAGATGCTATTTGATAATCTACGTAAATTATTGAATGTGATATACACGTAAATTATTGAATGTGATAAATGAAATAAATATTTCTTAAAATTTAGTGTCCTTAACATATAGAAGAAGGTTTAAAAAATATAATTGCTTATGTATTCGTATACTTCATGCTATATTTACCAATTATTTCGAATACAGGTGATAATACTTACGTTGATAATTTATTACGGTTAAAATAAAAATCAATGCGTAATTTGTACTTCTTTTCTTATTGATTAATTAACTCTTATCGTGATATTAAAAATTTTATTTATTTACGTTAAAAATTATTAATGTTTACCGCTCTAGAAGCAAAAATACATGCACAATTTAAACCTGTTACAAGTTAAATGGTTTTAGAGTCTACATTGATTGTGGTAACAAAACTGCGTTGCTACGCACAACACAGGAAATAAACGTTTCACCCTTTTACGTTTTAGCAATCTAGGAAGGGACAAATAAAAAAACAGTACGATATGAAATTCTCTGTTGTATTGAAAAAATATATCTCATATAAAAACTTACATTTTATGTTATAATTTGGAACTGTACAAATTGATGTGATATTAATAAAAATTAGAAATAGATTATTGCAAATATAGAACAGTAACAAAATTTAATGATAAATAAATAAAAAACACTCATATACAAGTAAAGTATTTATACTTATATCGGAATTATTATTATTTCTGAAGAACAAACTTAAAACCGATCAATTAGTTAAATAGATGATAAAAATATTTCCAAAATTTAGATATCACTATAAATATCAATGATACATTAAATGACAATAATAAGTCATATTTAATATCCATATTTTAATATCTATAGATATACACATTATATGCTTACCAATCATGAACTTTTACTTTGGTACTATAAATAGCAGGAGTATGAAATATAATTGGTTCAAAATCTTTAACATCATCTTCGCAGATTGGTAGAACAGCCTGTAATATAACCAGTACTTAAACATATGCTTAAAATACTCTATGAAAATAAATTAAATAAATTAATACTTATGAAAATAAATATAAATACTAATTTTGGTATAATGAAAGAAGTTTCCATAAATGTTGTGAAAACAAATTTGCCTAATAATAATCTATTTAAATAATAAATCTATATAAATAAAAATTTTAAATATGGATATTTCATATCCATATAACTGTCTATATAATGACCAAAAATTTCTACTTTATAACCAAATTTAACAGTCCATATAATAATCAAAAATTTTAAAAATTTCGTAACATTTTCAATATGAATGTAATCTTACGTTCAGTTTTCCTTTTGTTAACATTTTTCTTCATTTAAATAACGGAACTTGAATATCTTCGTTATTATTTTTGGTGTCTCATCATTCGAAATAATGTAATTAACTAAAAATTATTTTGAATCTAGAGTCAAGTATTGTAAGAAGTTTGCATAAAATGTTAACATTTTTTATACATTGAATATCTGATATCTTCACATTTCTTAGATTTCATATTACGCGTAGACATAACTCGCTGAAACTATATTGCAGAATTAAAAGTTATTTTTACAAAAATTTAGTGAAAGCATCTCTTATTTCGTGCTTATTAGAAAGAGTATATATATATTAAAAAAAGAATGAATATTATGTTAAAAGAGTTTATATTGCGGAAATGTCGAAAGAAGGTTATTTCTTTGAAATCATATGGTGAAGAAGAAGAAGAAGAAGAAGAAGAAGAAGTAGAAGATATCGGAGAGAAAGAAAGTGAAATAACAGAGGAATTAGCTTTTGAAGATATTCTTGCTGATAAACGTCGTAAATACAGCGCTAAAGAAGAATTCATTTACCTTCTTTACAATGACATTTTGAAATATTTTGTAATAGAGTAATCGGTTTTCTTTTCACTATGTTTCTAAAGAGATTTCGTTTTCAAATTCCTCATAAATATTTCTCATAAATAAAAGTATTAATATTGAAAATTTTATTTACGTACAATTTCCCTGTTCATTAAGTTTGAACATTATGCATTAATAAATAATTAGAAGTTAATAACATTAGTGACAATTGTACGCAATGACATACATATACACTTCCCTCAATTTATGCGAATTATTCGTTCTATGTAGATTTTTCACGCGAAAGAGTTCACTAGTACGAAAAAAATAGCCGATGTATTAAATCATTTAATATATAAATATCACTTGTCAGTACATAAATTATCGTCATGCAATATGTAAGACTTGAGTAATATCATTCATTATTTAATATAGGTGGGATGGTAAGCATTTAAGAAAAAAACCCAAGAAGATATTGGAAGTTGATGAATCTAGAAGTTCATATTACGAGGAAGATATTGGTAAAAGAGAAGATTACAAAGATGCAGATGAATTGGAAGAAAACAATAATAATTCCAAAGAATATAATAACGATACAGATAAATCAAACTCTATTTCGTCCTGGAAATTAACATTGCCTGATGAATTTGCAAATATTAGGTTCATTAATAATAATACGTATAGCGGTCGTATTAGTAGAAAAATGATGGAAGGTGAAGGCGTATATAGATGGTCTAATGGTGCTCAATACAAAGTAAGAATTTTTCATTTGCTACCATTACATAAATATATATAAATATATAAACTGTACAAATTGATAGAAATAATTAATGGAATAAAATGAAAATCAGGAACTTCTAAAATTTCAAAATTCTTTGTATATTTAATTCATTCATGCAATGCTAAAAAATTTATATCACTCTAGATAACATTCTAATAAATAATAATATAGATATTAATCAAATTATTAATAAATATTTAACCATATTTGAGTAATAAAAGTGATCGAAATTCTACGTAAGTCAAATATATTTTTAAGAAACTTTTAAAACATTTCTAAGACATATTTTTCCGAGACAGTTTCAAAGTATTTATTACAATTTTGAAATAACTAAACTGAAAGATTACATTAATAAGAACAAAAGTAATTGTACATAAGTACTTATTTATATATTTTTTACATACAAGATACTACTTTATATATTTTTTATTAAAAGCATTGAATATACACAGTTTACCTAAATAATACGCACTATTTTAATTATTAATTATGTGATATTATTTTAATTTATTTAAATTGTGAAATTTTTCATTAGTGATAATTATATGCATAATTTTATAGGGAGAATTCGAACAAAATCTTATGCATGGGAAAGGTTTACTAGAATGGAACAATGTTTGTTGGTATGAAGGTGATTTTATGAATGGCTACCGACATGGTAGAGGAATTATGGTGGATGGAGAAAATCGTTACATGTATACTGGTCAGTGGTATATGGGTCAAAGACATGGGAAAGGGTAAGTAATACTAATAAAATCAAATGCAAGTCAAATATTCTTATAAATCAGAAAACCTGCGATCTAAGAAATCACTTTTACAAATTCTTTTTATAAATCTGTAGCAGCAATATAAAAAAAGAGTTATTAAAAATATTGAAAAAATTTTTAACATGCGTAAAATTTATCTTTTTAAATTTGTTATTAATATGTATATAAAGCCAATACGAATATAAGAACATTTGTTAAAAATATTTAATAATCTTGTTTCTTAATTGATTTGCCTGTAATTTTATTTCTATCTAAAATGGACAGCGAGTATTTACATTATATTATATAAATACGTTCACAAAATATGTTCGAGTATTTATTAGTTCGAGTTATGTGTTAAAGTTTTAAACAAATTTTTCGTTCGACATTATATTACAATCCCTTGGTAGTAAATTTTAATAAATAGTAATCCCTTTTAGTAATGAATTTTTAATTTCTTACGTCAACAATGAAATATTTTTATATCATAATCCTTTTAATTTTTTATATAATAATCCTCTGTCCATTAACGATTTAGTGCTTCAAATGTGGTTCGGCACAATGTATAAAGCACTATGATCGCGCGCTTGTATTTGAGGCAGATAATGACCGTGTGGCAAAGTACAACAAAAGATTAGTATGATCCGGATATAAAACCGGAGATCGCGATAAATGGACTGTATATTTCATAAGTTTCATAGATTCACGCGGATCGGACGTCGCACGGAATTGTAGTTGACTAACTGACTAATTCTTAATGACTATTTCACGTAATAATAGCAGAAACAGCAGTGATAGTCGAAATATAGCAGAAAGACTGATTATAGCCTGAATTGTATTGATAACCTATTGCATTGACAACCCAGTGTTTGAATTAGATAACTGATGTGAGATGCACTCAGTGATTGTAGTTACGCGCTCTGCTTATCACGCACTGATGCACATATGAAACCCATTCTTGAATAACGCAATGTTGAATTTTATATATTGTTTTTACCAACGCATTGACTTTGTCGCACTCACTTCCCCGTTCACGACGAGCCTGCTTTATAGGAAAGTGATGGTGAGTGCTGGTCAATCACTTTGAATCACGAGCCGTTTGTTTTGCACTAACGTAGTTCCTCTAAAAACAGTGAAATTGTTAAACATCGATAGGATGATCGATGCCAACCTTTCTAGAGGACATTAAACATGACAATAAACTATCGCGTCAATTCTTAAAAATATTAAAATTAGTTTAGTAGAATTAGAGAGTAGAAATTTAGAAGTTAGGACTTCTAAACCAACATAAAATATGGGCGAGCCATTCTCCTTATCTAAAAAATAGAATAACAAATTATTTTCTGTGGACAAGCCTAACGTCTTTCGTAGATATAATTCTAATAACTAGAATTATGGGAAATGGCCTTAACAAAATCACCTTCCTTCGTTCATATATTGAACAATTTCACATAGATATTAGTTTATACCTACTTTCAATATTTAAAACAATTGTTACATTTTGCAAGTATTTCCTGTCAGTAACTTTTTAATAAAAAAGATAAGCGACTGCTCGTAATCTTTTAGAGATTATTCAGGAAAATATTCTTGACAATGTATTTGAAAGTTTCCTAAAAACGTCAACTTTACTATTTCTAACTTTTGAACACATCGTGATTGATCGCAAACTCTTCAAGATCAAAATTGCTCAGAACGATAATCTTGACAACATACGTATATGAAGGTCAAGCGTGAGAATGCCTTATTTCTGTACAAATTAATTTATTCCTAAAAAAATTGAACTTAGAGTTGTCAGCTGTAGTATAAATTTTTTTTTTGCAAATAATTATGTATTTATTGCAAAAGTTACTCTCGTTACCGTGACAATGGTTCATACGATGGCGATTGGGTGATGAACGAAATGAATGGGATCGGATTACGAATTTATCCAAGCGGTGCTCGTTACGTGGGTCAGTGGAAAAATGGTGTACGCGACGGTGTCGGTACTATGGTCTGGTCTAATAGAAATCTTTATCGTGGGGAATGGAAATGCGGTGCAATGAATGGGTTAGTTAATCTTTATTTTTATGATAATGAATTAAATACACAGCAATATTATAATTTACAATAAATTTATGATATAAATCTATAGTATATTTATAAATATTACAATATGTATAAATTTGCAGATATGGAGAATACGTATGGAATGGATTTTTTAATAAAACGTTTACTTGGCCACAAGAAGCATCATACATAGGTCACTGGCGTCATGGAATGCGTCATGGCAAAGGTGAATTTATATTTTTATTCTGCAACAAAGATTGAAAGATGAAAGTGATAATAAAATTGCTATTATAGGAGAGATAAAGTTGAATTCTGTCGGTGGGGCTAAGTATTCTGGTTATTGGAAAGATAATAAGAAACACGGTTACGGAATTATAATTGGTAATATGAACATTTTCTGAAGCTAAATTTTGTAAGAAAGATAGAATACATATGTATATATTAATCAGGAGTATAGTAGATACAAGCTGACATATATGATGGCTATCTTTTTTTTATAAATTATAGATATCCATATTACTTATATTTTTTCAAATGATAATGAAACTTCAACTAAAAATAAACTTCGGATTTTTTAAATTCGAGTTGTAGAGATAAAATAATGTATTTATGTATGTAGTAATTAATTCAGGATAAAAATTTTATTACTTAATTTTTCATAACGAAGCAAAAGAGACTGAACAAAATTGTAATCCTATAAATATTTTTGAATTACAGAAGTTTGAGTTATTGAATGTTATTAATATTGCTAATACTAATTAAATTATAAGCGTTAACTCTTATGTAATTTAAGAACATTTTAAATTTTGAATAAGATTATTAAGAAAATTAATATTTTTCTTATATCTATGTTATATTATATTTGTCTAATTTTAATGCAACAAACGAATTAAAAACATTTTCATTTTATCCAGGAAGTAACGGGGAAAAGTTTGAGTTTGATCCACTATTTTTAAATGATATTTTGTACGCTCCTAATGTCGTAGCCGATAATTTAGAAAATGAAATAGAAACAAAGAATGAAAAAGAATGCGTGCGTACAGTCAAAGAAATAAAACCATTGTAAGTATATAATTAGATAAATAAAATTTAAGAGTATTTGTAGAAAACACTGTGAATGTCAAACATTAAATTTTTCAAGAAGAAGAAAAGAATTATTCAGCTTTAAATTATTTACCAAAAATTTATTTACATTATTTGTTAAAAATTTATCAAAAAATTTGATTTCTCTTTATTGCAAAATTTATTGCTTACTAATATAATAACTGACAGAGTTCAATTTCATAAATTTATTATGATAAAACTTCTATGTACAGATTTTACTTTTAATAACCTTGACCTTCATACGATGTGCACCTAAATATGATAACAACATGCAGGAAATACATTTAAAAATAAATTAAATATAATTAATTTCTATTTAATTGTTTATAGATTTATTGAGAAACCTGACCAATTAACAGAAACCTTGGCAACTCCTATTCTGAAACCAGAACAGTTTCTAGATTTATTTTATTATATAGCTCGTCTACTAGATCCAAAGAGTTTGGAACCATCTCTTGTACTTTCGACTTCATCTGGAAAATGTTACAGTTGTGAAAACGAATCCTGTTCTTGTTTGACACATTCAGTTTCAATCGGTTATTACTATTTATATTTTTTATTAATAAATAATATACAATAAATGTAAATTTTACGCGGTTCTTATACGCGAGTATGAAAAAAATACCTAAGAAAATATAAGTTATAATAAAATTTATTTCACATTCCATTGGTAATTATTCTTAGAATAGCTTAATTCAATAAAATCAAGTAGGGAAAAGAAATTCGTACAAAGTCCGCGTAAATAGATATTTCTTTTTTTTTAAAGCTTAATTAGTTGAATGCATTTATGTTTATTATCAGAAATGTTTTCCTTAGAAGGTTGATACATGCGAAACAAAAATAAAGATTTAATGCAATGTTTCTTTAACATTATTATTTTTGTCATTTTTATATTGAGAATATATAGTCACCATTAATGTTATTTTTTTTAAACTTAATTTCATAATTCGATATTCGAATTATTTCTATATAAAAAAACTTTTGTATATATTTCACATATTTCAAAAATAATTGTATTTGATATATATGTGCTAAATATTTAAATACACTTTGCATGTTCAAATAATCAATTCTTGATCAATTAATTAATTCAATAAAGCAATATTGCCTTTTATTGCAAAATTGTGATATTTTTCAATTCTTGTAAATAAACAAAAAGCATTGTCATTCGTGCATATTCATGAAGTAGGATAGCGACTAATGTAAAACAAATTTTGACGCAGATGCAACTACAAGTGAAGAGAATGATATTTCACAAACAAATGCATCTAAAGAGATGATAGACTCTAATTGGAGATATGAAGAACGCTGGACATACAGTTGTTTAATGTTTCATATGTTTCGTTTACGTCAAATTTACAATGATTATGCGAAATTATTTGCCAAGTCAGCGCCAAAATGCAATCTTGCAATGAGTAAATTGTGTTTATGGCAGTTATGGAGGGATTGTGGTATTCATGAAAAAGGATTTAGCCTCGTTGAAATTGATAGTTATATTGGTAAACATCCATTAATATTAATTATACTATTGTTACGTCATTCATAATATACAGTACTGTGCAAAAATCTTGGATTATACATGATAGTGATCTCATAATGGTAACAATTATGTCTTTAAACAATATACAAGTATTTTAATATTTTAATATTTTAAATTTGATATTTTAAATATTAAATATTTTAATATTTTAGTCTCGAATTTTAATATTCAAATTTTGCTGATATATTCTATGCCTAAAATAGAACTAAAATATTATGTAGCATTAGTAAGGAGTAACTTAGGAAGTTTATAAATAATTCATTAAAAAGTTATAAGAAAAATATAAAATATGACAAATATAATCAATAGATTCAATTTTAACGATGGATTAGTTGAGAGGAACTAATCTACTGGTTCTTTTCACCAAATTTTCTGGATCATTAGACTTTACATCATTAGATTTCTACTGGATCAGTAGAAATATTCATTATCTTTAAAAGCAAAAAATTTACAATACAGAAATATTTATCAATATGAAATTAATTAATTACAAGAATCAAAACTGCAGAGAAATTTTATAGTATTCCGTCCACAGTAAATTTTATAGTATTCCGAAATACACATGTATGAATGTGGCTTTACATTTCATGTTTTTGTTATATTGTAACTGAAGCATTTATGGAATTTTTGCTACATGATACTTTATCTATAGAACACACTGACAATGTTTGAACACTAAAGTACAGAATACCCTGTTACATATTTTGGTTCTTCCAGATCTAATTTTTTAAAAATATTTCATCAAATGGGATTCTAAATTAATTCTTAATTAAACGGATATATAACGATTTAAAGTGAGTTACCGGAAGGTACAAAGTCAAAAGTATAAATGAAATATATCATATATTATAAAAGAAATAACATAAAATGGAAAATGAATTTAATAGAAAATTACATATTTAGTAGACTTTCCGACAAAATTTTTGTCACTGCCATGAGCGGAAAAAAAGGACATCATCCAAGTTAAACATTTTTTAAGAATAAATTTAAATTCATTTGCACAGTGCTGTACAATAAATCAATTTTTCTTTTAAGTAAAAGGAGATTTGGATTTCGTATCATAAACATATTATTATAAATTTTCTATCACTAATATACAACATATTACTGAAATAGCGAAAAATGAAATTACTGGGATAAAGGATCCTCATCATCCATTCGAAAAGATTGAGATCTGGCAATTTTTACATGCATTATTAGAAACTTCATGGCATTTGTATACTAAACACAACGACATAGAAATCGAAGAAATGAATGGAAAACTTGCCGGAGGTTTGCACAGATTTTTAAAAAATGACGTATATCCTCATGCTGGCAATCATATTGGTATATGAGTAATATAATAATATAATTATAAATAGAATAATGTAATATAATTAAAATAATATGAAACAATATGGAATAATTATAAATAAAATGTTATTACAAAAAATAATTCTTTTGCAAAGTTAGGAAAAGCATTGTGCTATACGGAAAAAAGTTAATTTATATTTATATAATATTTTAATGATTTTTATTACTTTTTAAGAATAAAATGATCAAATGAATAAAACAAATATTTATGATTCTGTAAAAGAAGTCTTTTGTGTTATCAATTTTTTAAAGAGAAAGAAAGAAAAAAAGCAAATACAACTTTTTAAATTTTGAATTGATACCTTTCAAATAAAATAATAATAATATAATAATATAATAATAAAAAAATAATAATAAATAATATTTTCCAGGTAGTTTATGTTACGAAAATCAGGATTTACTGCCTATATACTGTGTCTTTGAATTGTATCAACAAATTGGATATCCACCTTCTGCGAGAGATCTTCTTCGAGCAACGTGCAATTTAAAAGGTAAACTAATTATCTATTATGTTTTAAATCTTAAAAAATTCTCTCTACTACCATTTTCCAAATATTTTCCATTTTCGAAATTGTCTATATTCATATTTGTATTTTATATAACTAGCTAGCATTTTAGATTCGCGTGAAAATAATTTTGAATTTTGAGCAATAAGTTTTTTTAATAAATTATTTTTCCTCCTTCATCTTCCGGCCAATTGTATGTAGTATCTTCTACATAGTATCTTCCAGCGCGTTCTTTTGGAGAAATATAGGTAATGAGAAGAAAGAATAGGATGGCAAAGCGGAGGAAAGAAAAAAATGTGATATTTGTTATCAACTGCACTTATCAACTGCATATGAAAATGAAAACGAAACACATAACACGAATTAATCACAGATAAAGTTTTCATCCCTATGCTCGTACCATTATATAGATTATAACAGTACTAAATCAAACCCTTTTTTGGAAGATCCAAGTTTGTTTAATTTTTCTTTACAGATTCTTCATTTGTATTCTTCAATGGCATGATTATCTTTTCAATAGCATCATCATTATAGGAACTTGATGATTTTAAATATCTGAATTAAGATTAGAACGATTGTTTATTCATTGACATTCACTTGTCAGCGCCAATGCATTTTTAGGACAATTAGAAAGGTGGAATTACCGTCCATAATTAATTTATGACAAGAATGAAAAGCATAAAAAAGACTTCTATCTTGAACGAAGGCTTAGCATTAAACGAAAGCCAGTGATTTTAAATCACGATTGATTAGTTACTAGTATGAAAGAGTAAAGTACATAAACTAAATAGCATTGTTGTAAGTTGCCTTGGTTTCTGAATATCGATATTGTTTCTAAAAGAACTGACTGCGGAGCTAAAAGAGGACTATGACTGCTCAGCACTATCCCAGAATTTACGATTTTAGAAAATTTCCAACACACTCTTATCGTGAATCTCTAACAAAATTGGTTGTTATATGTGTATATATAGATTATTATGTATAGATTATTATGTATTGCAGATGAAAAGAAGGAATATGTTTCCATTCAAACTATTAGGTATATAAATTTCAACGTAAAGAGAACATAATATCGTGTCAATTTTTATGATATAAAGCAACATTCATCCACTGAACAGATTACCAATCAAAAAAATTTAATTTATAGGATGAAATTTATTGCTTTCGAATAGTTACTGAAATTACAATTGCAATTTTCATTTTCAAAAATATAATAAATACTAACAAATAAACTCATTATTTTCCTACAGTAAGTAATTATTTGCCTGAAAAGTAACTTTAACTTAAACAAACATCTTGAAGTTCAGTGTTGTTTCATAAATCAATTATTTCTACTTGAAATTCTTTAGGAATTGTTTCAACGTCAATATTGATATACCAAAATAGTTTGATTTTCACTTTTGAACGTAAAATTTTTAGATTTCAGTTAAGTGAAGTGCAACGTTTCGGCGAGTTGCAAATAAGTACATACATAGTTGAAAAACTATATACAATCCATAGTCCTATGCTCATCTTGCTGATTTATAAAATATCTACTGATTTATGAAAATCATATCAAAATTCATCCAATATTTGCACACAAAGACAGATGACCATCAGAGACTTTATTTTATATTACGTAAAGATGTTGCGCAAATCTGTGAAACTTACAAATGTTAAAAATTAAGTATTTTTTTCTTTGAGAAATGTCGTTGCACATAAAGAGCTAATAAAGTTTTTCAATATAAAAAGCATAGATATCTATGTAGATATATATATAAATTTTAACAAAAAACATAATTTTCTCAACTATTTTGCTATTTGAAGAAAGCAAATTTGAACAAAATATACGACATTAAAATTTACATTTTATATTATGCATGTAAATTCTGCTAAATTCTAGTTCCTAAAATAATGATATTTTTATATTAAAATGTAAATATATTGTAATGATATACATAGGTACGGCAGATTCTTCGACTACCGTTGAAGCTATGAAAAATTTTCCGGATGGAATTAATTTTGTCACAGTAGGTGAAAAAGTCAGTTACTTACTGAAACTTGATGACATTTTCGTATTACGTAATTGTATGATTAATGTATCAAGAAAAAATGAAAATAATCTATATAGTAGGTATAACATACTCTATAAAAATTATCGTAATTCCTTCACTTATAAACATTCTTCAACATTTATATTGCAGCTAATGAATTATTAGTCTTTGGACAACTAGGGATTTCAAAGATAACAGAAATTATGACACTAATATGCCCTGGAATAAAAGACGCAAGCAGTGGTATAATTATAAATATGGATTATAAGGTACATTATTACATATTAAATTGAATTTAAAATTAAAAATCAAACTTTTAATAAATGAATTATTGTCAGTGTAATCATTATTATTATTTAATTGCGCTTATTTTGATATTTCTAACTTTGAATATCACAATGATGTTATACATTATCAAATTTTTGCGTTATGTCCGATTTAATTTAAAACGAAAAAATTGTAATTTATACTAAAATGACAGTTAGTAGATAGATTATTTTTTATAATCACTTGTGATTAATTTTGTATATTAATAAATTCCGACTAAATTGCACAATACCAATAATATTAATAATTATAATCTTTACACGCCATGTAATTTTTATCTTGTATAATATGCATTAAAATAATTATTAATTCAAAATGAAATTGAAAGCAAATAAATTAGTAAACAATATGAATAACGATATGAAATGCAAATTATGTAAAATCAAGTTTCATCAATTATTTAAACATCAACTTTATAGTTACAAAATTATTATTGATTACATCAAGAGCATAAAATATTATAAGTAACATAGATTGAAATATTTGTTACATTAATATTTATTCATATATCAATATTGAATATCATATTTAATTTAATATGTGACTGATATCAATGTGATATAATCAATGATTATTTACAGATATTACAAAAATTGCGTTTCTTCTGAATTATCTCTCGCTTAAATGCATAATATATTTTATAGACACATCGTATACAATATTATGCATAATTTACAGTATAGAAATTGAATGTTACAGTTAACTTTTCTTGAATTCTATGAAATAATACTAGAGGCAACAAAGGAGTTACTCTCTTTAAAAAAGAAGACCGTCAAATTATTGCATATGAAAAAGATTGAGGAGGAAGTAGCTTCATTCAAAACCAATAATCTACAAAGAAGAGACGATTCTCAAGTTAGTGAACAGTCTTCGATCAAGAAGATTTCTAAAATCAAAAAAGGAACTTTAATATAATTTATTCAGATGATAATAATAAAATCTAGTTTCACTTCTGTCGTGCGAATCATATTGTATTTTTAATTTGCTTCACATTAAACATTCGAAACAATCGGGATTATGTTAAACAAAATTGAGCAATTTTTATTGCATTTTAGTTTAAATACATATTTATAGTATGCAAACTTGCAATTAAAATATAACAGGAAATAACAATTAATAAATTAGAATTTCATTGACATCTTTTTAGATAAAAAGAAAAGGAAGGAAAATTAAAATATCAATGTAATACTTTACGAAAGCAATTAATAGTTTAGAAAAAATAATTTAAATATATTAATAAAAACGATCTATTATTGCCAATATTCTTCGAATTCGAAAAATATATTTAAAACTAAAATTTATCTATTAATGATAGCTTATGAAAAGAAATATTATTTTTTGAACATATCGTTCTATTTGCATCACATACATTTATACATATATAATTAACAATTATAAAATCATGAATATAAATAAATTTTCTTCGTAAGACCATTTTGTTAATACATCATAATCATAAAATTTTTCGTAATACAATATTGCTGTTAATTTAACTGAATATAAAAACCGAAAAAGTTAAATTAAATTAAATCAAATGTATGTGACTTTTACGTATTAGGAAATACGGTATATGCTTAGTTGCATTTAACTTTTGGAAGAAACAAAACAAACTTGAGTAATAAGAATTTTGAAATAAATGCAATGTATCCAATTGTAAAACTAATTGAACAGTATGAAATACATATACAAATTGGACTTTGGAACAGGTACAGATAGAAAATTGATTCATGAGACATCATAAAATCGAAAAAAAACATGGCAGTTGGCTTTTTTTGAAGCCACGGATGGAACGATTCAGTCTTGAGCGAGCAATAACAAAATTGTCAGTGTCATCGGAACAAGCGAATCCATTACGCATTATCACATAACAATGTAGTGGAACTTAATCGATTTTCTCTTCCAAATATACTTTCATAAAAATTCCAGGGCTCAGAAAGTCAGAGGAACGACAGCATGCGACTAAGTCGCTTATAGTAATGTTTCAGTTTAAAATGCAATGTATACGCGTACTTCTAATCCATTGTATTGTTTTAGTGTCTTCGTTTTTTTTTTATGTTCATTTTAAAAATATTTAATATATATTAAAATTTGATTAAGATGTAAGATTTGATTCTTTTGGATATCTATCAAAATCTTTATTACAAAAATAGTGTTTAATTGCAAAGCAATTTAATTAACGAATTTTACTTTTCTACAAAAATAATATATACATATATTTTTTTAATATATACAAAATGTAGATGAATGAGAAATAATTAAATTTGTTTGATTTGATATTATAAAAACAAATATTTATGAACATTAAAAAAGTTACATATAAAGATACAAACTCTGTTTATACACTAAATTGTAACGTATCATAGAATATACAAGTTTGCAAATTGTGGATAATGTAATTAATATAATCAGATAAATTGAAAAATGTTAAAAATAGAATAAGCAGAATATATTAGGAAACGAAGACTTTAATAATAGATTTAGAAGTATCGCGTCATGTTATGGTACGGCTTACGCCGGCTCAACAATCGCTATAAATAATTCTAAAATATAAACTATATGTACTTTTTATATAACTACAGTACAGGACAGCAAAATACGTTTTCATGACAATAAAGCTCGATAGTAAGTAAACGTTTTATTCCGTTTGCCGGTATTTAAAATACTTTCAAAAAGTAAAATAATCATATAGTTTCGTCTAAAAACAATTTTTTCCTTCCGATATAAATAAAATAATTTATTTTTAATTATGGTATTAATAAAACATAATAAAACATATGACACAACATAAATGAAAAAGGTAAACAGTGAATCTACAAGACGATCGAAATGTAATTCACATTTTAAATTATTTTCACTGTTTTTGCATTCAAATTCGATATATTTTGTATTACTTTCTATCGATTCATTTACAAATGTGTATCTTTGAGACAAATATAATTTACTAACAATTAAAATATAGAAAAACAGATTAATAAATGGACAGTAGAAAACATTTTTCGTAGAAATATCTACAACGTGTATGCGAATCACTCGGTAAACAGGACACCTTAGTTTAAGTAACTCAAATGCCATCGAGCGACTGTTACATTTTACTTTGTTTAATTGATTATCGAGATACAATATTGAATGAACTAACGTCTTTATAATATAACTAATACACGAACAATAAGTCTCTTTATAAAAATCGTCAGAATAATTATTGATGGTATGACTATTAAAAGGGGTGTAGAGCATAATGAGCCCCAGAACGTACAATATCTCTCACGTGAGTAATGTATCGTCTAATTCTTCTATTTTGCCTTCAGGTTGAGATAGAACTTTGCGCAATACTTTGCTGACTACATCCGATAATGATTCTCTGGCACCAACATCCAAGAAAGCCATACAACGCTGAAAAATTCAATTTGTAAAATTATAAATAACCAGTAACAGAAATTTACTTTATAATTTTATCTCATATTATAATTTTACACAATGAAATTGATAAAAATACCTGATATTCTTCTTCTCCTTGTTTCAATCTAAGTACTGCTATGAGAGCAAGTTCACTGTTGGCTTTCACATAACCATTTTTTTCTTTTGTTCCATTTACCAACATAGGTAAAAGCGATTTAAGTAATTCTGGTGACATCCTTTCAGGTGGTATATTACGAGCCAAATGAATGCAAACTTTAGCTAATAACTGTTTCACGTCATTATTATTGTTATTCATTGACTAAAATATAAATTATATGATAAGTTATTTAAATATAAAATTGTAAATAAAATTAAAATAAAAAATTACATATATAATTATTATAAAAATTACATATATAATTATATATAAATTTATATATTTTTTTAAATATTCTTACTCGAACAAAAGGAGGTAAAATTTGTTGAGGTATAGATTGTCCTTCATTCATAAGATATTGAAACAGGTAACCACAAGCTCGTATACCATTCATGATTATTTGAATTCGGTCTGCACTCAAGTATGAAAGAATTACTACACAAACACGATCTTTATCTTTGCTATTATAAATAGTTGTTGGCGATTCCTTTAATACAACAAATAGTGCCGCAGAACGTCCATGTCTAAGCATCCAGTCAACACTGGTATCATTACCTAAAATTATTAATTAAAATATTAAACGTATTTTATTTAAAAAAATTAATAAAAAGAAGAAACAAAAGAATATTTAATGTTACATACATAACAAATCTTCATTAAGCGCAATGTTAAGTTGATCTGGACTGAGCCACCGTATCAATGCTCCAAAACAACCAGCTACAGAGTTCCTTGTAACATCTTCTGGATGTCCAAGCATGCTACTTAAAGTAGCAAAGACTTGTTTTTTCATTGGTTCTGTTATTCTATCACCAGCAGGCGTAAGCACACCTCTTAAAGCTTGCAACATTGTTTCTCTAAATAAAATGTATGTGTAAATTTTGATTATACAAACATATAAATAATGTACAGACTGTTTCATTCAATTGTTTAGTTTACCTAATAGCTGGATCATCACCAGTTTTTATGCCAGTATGAAGATCTGTGAATAGTGGATCGACACGAGTATGAATTATAATGAGATTACTTATAGCATAAGCGGCTTTTAATCTTACTTGTCTGTTACTATCATTCAATGCTTTTAAGAAAGTAGTTTGTAATTGTGGTAAAAATTGTTTTAACATTACTCCAACCTAATCAACGCATTTAAACATTAATTACTTATATTATTTTTGTGTTATTATTTTTCTTAATATTGATCACAAATTATCTTACCTTGCCAAGCAAAATTGCAAGCGTTTCTAAAACTGCTGCTTTAACACTCCAATTAAAGCGATCACCGAGAATTCGAATTAATGGTCCAGTAATATGTACAACACTTGGTTGTAAGGCTGAGGCATTAGTTAATTTTATAACTTCTCCTAGCCCTTGAGCTGCTTGTTCTTTTGCTTCTGGTAGACCATTTAATATAGCTTCTCTGAATATCGGAAGAATAGGAGTAATTCCTTTTGGCAAACAGAATCCTGGCAATAATTCTTGTCCCTTCAAATCAGAAACTGCAAATCGAACAGCTTGTCTAATATCTTGTACATGTGCAATTTGTTGATCAGATGCTAGAGTCTAAAAATGAAATTTAATATATTCATTTTAATAACATTAATTAAAAATTATATTTAAATAAAAAAATTTAATTACAATAACATAAAGTAATATATTAAATAAAAAAAATTATTTTACCTTAGTAACTGCTGTAAGTGCTTCCCAGCTCATCTGTAGTACATCTTTATCGTTATCCGTAAATAAATGAATGAGACCTCGTAATAACTGTGGAACATATTGACTATAATCTGCGCGTGTGTCTCGACAAAAAGCACATAACAAAGTTGCAGCACTTCGACGTCTAGATAAATCGTCTGCTCTTGTAGCTTCCATAAGCTGATCCATAATTGTTCTAATACCAACTTCATCAGTAACAGATAGAATTACTGTTTGACAATATTCTAACTCTTGAACTTCATTTGGTGTTCCTTGAGCACTGGAGAGAGCAGTCAATAGCCCTGGTAGAATTTTGTGAAGAAATCTTGTTAATGCTTCACCTGCTACACTTGCCAAAATTGATAACGCTTTTGTATTAACAGGAGGAGTTGTTAATTGAGGTACTAAATATGGTAAAACAACACGAGATTTGATTGCCATTACTTGGCGTAAACCATCTAAAGTATTCTCTGCTTCAGCTGGATCCGGTGAATTTAATTGTGTTAACATTGCTGGTAATATGTCATCTAATGCTCTAACTCCTACAGTTGAATGCAAACCATCGAAAGTTTTAGCTGCTGCTTGTCGAACTTCTGGTAATGGATCACACAATGCTTTTCTAAAATACAAATAATGGTTTTTATAATTATCGAATCACTGTCTTAAAATTTAACATTTATTGTATATAAATTTACCTTACTGTTGGAACTAAACTAATTACAAAGGTTATCACCATGTCCTTATTTGTACTTGTCATAATTTCTGATAAACCAATACATACACCTTGACGCTGATCAGCTTGATCACTTTGTAAACCTTTCTCCAAAATAGGTATAATTTCTGGTAACACTCTTTCACCTAATTTTCTAACTAGATCTCCTAAAGTTCTCGCTGCCACCTGTCGTTTATCATTACTTGTACTAGCTAGGCAGCCAAGTAATAAAGTAAATAATGTCGGTAATATTTCTCTTAAAGTCCTTGGCGTATTCGTTACAACAACTTTCCATACATGAAGAGCAGCTTGGCGTACCATTAATGCAACATCTGATCTACCCATATAGAGTCCGGCTAAAACACGATTTCGTCTTTCAGCACCAAGGGCATTAATAATGGCATAATGTGACTGTTCAGTTCCAAAATTATCATCTTCACTTGCTGTTTCTGTTGACATTTTTCCTGAGACTCCAGAAATTCGATATAACAAATCCCCAAGTAATTGAACTGATGAATATCTAATACGCCAATTATCATCAAAAAGACTCTTTTCTAATTCTGGTAATAGCAACATAATAGCAGAATCAGCATAAAGATTAACAATACGTTGTCCCGCTCTAAGTGCTGTTTCACGAACATATTCATTTTCATCAGCTAAGGCTTTCAAAATAGGATTAATGATTTGTCCAATATAAGGTGTAAATTCTGTAGTAAATGCACTTGGCATGTAAATAAACATCATAATATAACCATCCTTGACATGAGGAGCTATATCAGTTCTTTCTGCGGTACTAATAATTTCAGGCATAAGTTTATGAAGTTTTTCAACACCTAATCCCCTCACAACTTCCGAAAGACCTTGTGCAGCACCTGATCGATCAACGCTACTCGTTTCAGATGTAAGCGTTTGCATTAACCACGGAAGTAAATCTTCAAAACTAGATTCACCCATTCCTCGTACCATAGCACCTAACGCTCTTGCAGATACACTTCGTACTTCTGGTACGGGATCTAATAAACTCGTTTTTAAACCAGGAATAATGGTTGGCAAATATGGAGTTAAATCTTTTTGATCAGTTAAAGAATACATATTTCCAATAATTTGAGCTGCCATTTTTCTTGTTTCTGTTGAACGATCCAAAAACGCTCGTTGTACTACAGGCATAATAAGAGCTAATGATGGAGCATCAATAAAATGTACAAACTGAGTATCTAAAAGAGTTTGGAGACAAGTAGCTGTTTTATGAGAAGGATCTTGTAAAGCTTTTAATAAAACTGGCACAATAGCTTGAATCTCCGGATTACGAATTACACTTCCAATAACTTTAAGAGCTTCTGCACCTGCCTCTTGAACTTTTGTATGTGAATCGCTAAGTACTTCGATTAGTTTTGGAACTATACTTGGTAAACAACTACTAAGTTGTTTTGGTGCACAATATGCCATTGCACCCAATAATTCAACAGATCCTTAAAAAGTGGAAATAAAATTATGTAAAACTTAACACATAATTATTAATTTAAACAATATTAATATTTTAATTATTTACCAGTTTTAGTCCTCCACGAATCTTCTTCTAATGCTGCTAATAAACTAGGTAAAACAAGTTTTACACCATGTGCAGATAGTTTACTCATAACTACACGAGCTGTATCATCAGTAGCCGCTCTGACATATTGACTTGAATCTCCAAAACACAGCAACAAGTGTGGTAATACATGAACAATGTATGGTTCAAATAATCTACCAAGCATTGTACATAACATTTCAAAAGCAAATAATGCTCCTTCTCGATGCCTATAGTTTTTTTTATCCTGAATGGCATTAGTTAATGTAGTCATAATATCAAGTTGCTTTAGTGCCAATATTCCCATACCCTTGATTATGCCTGCTAAACCATAAGCTGCACCTTTTCGTTCTCCATATTTGTCTGATTTTAACAATTGATCCATTAATTTATCTACAATTTTTGGTGCATCTTCTTTAATAGAAGGTACCAAATGTGGTAAACAATTAGCTACTGCTTCTTGCACTTGCTGTGATGGTGTGGAAAGAGCAGCAATTAAACGCATAACTATCGGTTTAATACGCGAGTCATCTTTGTCCAAGTGTCTTGCTAATGATCCCATAAGAATAACTACAGATTGTTTGATTGAATCGAAACTACCAATTTTTGGTGCTTTATCCATAAAGTCTTCGAAAACAGGTAACAAAGAAGTTATATTTGCTTTTCCATGAAGATCAACAACAGCTACAGCAGCAGTTAACATTTCTGTTCGGACAGCTTGATTTCTATCTCCTAAACCAGTAGAGACAAAAAATTGCACAAGTTTAAGTATTGTATCGGCACTAAGAAGAGGTGCCATTTGAGCTAATGCAAGTGCCACACCTCGTCGTGGACCCCAGGTATCAATAGGTTGTTCAACCACTCGTCCAAAATCGTTTAATTTTGGTGGAATCATAGTTAATTTTTCTTGATACAATTGTAATAATTTATCCAAAATGATTGGTACTAGATGGAGAACTTCAGTTAAACATTGTGCCAAAGCACAAGCAGCTGCTTGCTGTACAGGTTCTACAGGATGCGCAATGTCTTGGATCAGTTCATCAGCAAGTTTATCTGCATGCATTACTAAATCTGCGGCAGTCCATAACTCATTAGCAAGAATTTTATTCTCATCACAAATATCAAACTTAGCAATCCAAATTCTTCTAACAAGATGAGAAAGTTGTACAGAATGTTCTTTTTGAGATGGAAAAGCTTGTCTCACAACTAATAATGCTCTTAATGCTGCATCTCTTATTGTAGATAAAGAATTTTGTAATGCCCCAATTAAAGAATCTATATCTTCATTAGTTGCTATTGCAGTACCTGATTGACCACTACCGGATTGAGCAACGTCTAATAATGTTGCAACTGCATGTGACTGTACTCTGCCACTTGTGATTTCCATTAATTCTATTAATAGATCAAACATATGTTTACGTGGAAGCAACTGAGGATGTTTCATATCTCTAAAATCAGAACTCCCTCTTTGTTTAGCATGTTCTTGTATTATTTGCAATCCTTGAACTATCATATTATCATCCTTATAAGATAATAAAGTTTTCTTTATAAATGGAAAGATGTAGCAAAAAGTTGGTGCTGTAAATAATTTCTTATGTTTTATTGTTGTTGTGTGTAAAAGATTTAATGTTCTTTTTACTGCAGTATCAAGATTTTCCTCTTCCCAAGCTTGATTGAGATCACACTGTGGTTGTAATTGTCGTAATGTAACATGTGCTACTAAATCAGTAAGAATTGGATTATTTATTTTCACAATTTCTTTTAAATGAATATAAAGATCTGACATTGCAGGAGCAGCTAATGGCGATCCCAAGTTTTTCAAAATTAGAGGTAGAAAATCTTTTAAGTATATTGACAATTCTTGACTATTTCCTCGTATAGAACACATAGTTAGAGATACAACAATATCTATTCTAATAAATTTCAATTCCGTCAATCTTTTACGAATTGCAGTTTCTTTTGCCATTTGTGCTTTAAGGATTTCTTCTTGCTTTGGTGTTAATTTAGGCTCTTGTATTTTTCCTTCCTTTTTTCGTTTCTCATATAATTCTCGCCTAAGCTGCAATTCTTCTTGCTGTTCTTTAAATGAATACACTTTACTCTCTCTTCTCATATTCATTGAATTGAGAATATCATTTTCATCATTTGTTGGTAATACACTTTTATCATACAGTTCCCCTTCTGGAGTGAGATAAGTAAAGTATTCGTCTTTAGTAACTTTTAAGATCTCTGGATCATCAAGTTTATTTGTAATGTTAAATACTATTCCAGGTAATATGATGTCTGGTATAATTGATATCACTTTTGTTAATGCATTTTCATAACTAGCAACAGGTTTATAATTTTGTACAAGTATTCTTTTAATTTCATGATTAAATGTACATAAAAATTTTTTTGGTACAAGATTAAAGTTTTTTGCAATTTTAAACCATAAATTTGGCATTGCTTTATAGATTGCAGGATGATGAGATGGTATTAGTGCATCTCTTGTCATTTGCATAGCAGGTAATTCAAATAAAAAAGAACCTGAACAAATAGCAAATAACCCGTCTGCAAGACATCTACCAGTTATCTCACAATTAGAAGAATCTTCTTTATTTTCACTATCATTTTCAGATTTAATTTTTACATTTTCTATGAATTTATTATATTCCATTAGTAGTTCTTGTGCAGGATCATATGTACTCAAACCAGTTAAAACTTTTTTAATTAATGGGAAACAACGTTTTCTTATTTTATATTTCGGAGCTGTTGCACATGCTACAATTGCTCTGTGAACACCATTTAAAGTTTTTTCATTTAATTTATCTCCAAATTCAATAATTAGTCTTTTGCAAAGTAACATGAGGTGATACAATATATCATCTCCACAAGTTGACAAAAATTTTTCTGAGAAGAATATTTGCTCATCAATCGCATGCCACAATACAGTTTGTTTGTCATTTTCCACTTGATTAGCAAGAACAAATTTCAGTAACAAATAAGAAGCTACTAAACCCTCTGTGACTGCAACTGGTTGTGCAGACTGTTGCATAGCTCTGCTTATTGCTTGTATAAGCAATGGGGTTATTACTTCAGAATAAGAAACTACTGGTGTAGAAAAGAATAGTTTAATATAAGCAGTACGCACTGCTGCAGTTGAAGTTTTAGCAGTCATACCTTTTTTAAATGCATCTATTACACATTTTGGAACATTATTTGCAAATTTATTAGACCACAATGCCATCATTTCAAGAGCATGAATTAATGTTTTCTCATGAACTTCAGTTTCAAGAACTTTAATAAAATGTTCGCAGGCTGTTTCAGCTAATCTTTCAACACTACTTCCTGAAGCTGCATTGTAACTAAGATTGCCAGCACCTTGCAATACAGAAATTTTGTGAGTTGCAACTGTAAGTTTTCCTTCTGATCCATGAAATACAGCAAATACAGATGATAATAAATTTTCCAAAGCAGCAGTATCTGAACATTGAAGAGCAAGTCTACGACAAGCTCCTACAGCTTCGTCTCTAACTAAATCTTCCTTTGAATACAAGTTAGCAAATAATCCTTTACTTATATCTTGACTATACTGACTTAAATCAAGACTTAAACCACTTAGAATATGTCCAACCGATTCAATAATAATTTCTGGATTTCTTAACATAGCTTTTTGCAAAGCTGGTAACAGTTGACTTTTAAACTCATCATGAGATATTCTACGAAGAAGAGGTACAGCATTATGAACAACATAGAGATCTGGTTTTTTCTTACAACTAATAGTTAGCTTTATGAAAGCATCTATGGTGTTTGTCTGTAAAAGAAAAACAAATATTTATTTGCTAATGTTTATTACAAAAAATAAAAAATATTACTTAATATAAAAACAGTTTTTTTAACACAAATGTTATCAAATATAAATTTACCTTCAATTTTACCACTAAATCACTTTTCTTTGCATCAACTAAATACATAGTTAGTAAACTCGCAAGAACAATTACACCGTTTCCAGCTTCCAGTTTTGTTAGTGTCTCTAAATACACAATATCAATATCTTTAACACTTGACCATTGATGCGCAAGTAAAACATATACTTTATTTGTCAATTTTTTGTCCATGGATGCCAAAGCTGCTGCACTCAAATTTGCCTGTGCTTCAATAAGTTTTGGTAATTCTGAATTCATATCTGAATTGCTTTTGTATCCATGCAGAATAATTAATGTTGACCATTTTAATGCAAGATACGCTGTTAAAGACGTGTTCGTACTACAAAAGAACTTATTATTAGTAACTTATAAATATTAATACACGGTATAAAATTTAAACTTTTTAAAATAAATGTATTCTAGAAGCTAATATAATTACATACGTAGGAACTACATTTTTATGCCATGTAGCTTGTTCTACAATAACATTTGTCATATGTTTTATTGTAGGTACTGGTTGCTTTTTTAACAGTTCTTCAATTAACTTTTTCACGTAAGATTGGGAAGCAGTATCCTTATATCGATGTAAAGTAGAAGATATGGTTTTGCAAATTCCATTGACAATCTTCTCATTGATGCCTAAAAATACAAAAATGATATCTATTAATTTGAGTTAACTTTTAATAAAAAAAATTAACTTTAGTTTTAACTAAAAGAATCAGATAAAAGTATCTCTTTTAATAAATATACTAACATATTAATGTATAAAAAAAATATTTAGTTTGTATCAACATGTCCTCATACATTATATACATGCATATTTGTGATAATAATTCTATTTTTATAACTGATGTTAAAATTGACAGAAAAATTGAAAAATTTAAAATTATAGGTGCAATGTACAAAAATTGTAAATATTGTAATAAAAAAAATAAAATTATTGTAAACAGGAAATAAGTGGTCAAATTTTGGTATTATATTTTGCTAAAGGAAGAAAACAATCATATAAACATAGGACTTCTTTTCTGAAATATACACATATTTGATTTTTTGAAAATTCGTCAAAATAATTGTTAGATATAGAATTTCAAGCAAAATTTCTTTCAGTATATCAATTGTATTATTCGATATTATTTTTCTTGATGCATTAATTTTAAAATATATTTATAGGAGACAGAAAAGTTTCCTCTTTTCATTAACAAGTTTTTAATCAAAGTTATAAATCTTTATCAAGATATTATTCGTATTTTCATTTCTTACCAGGATTTGACAACACACTGACGACATTTTGTAGAAGCACTCGCCGCTCGTTTTTACTGGCGGTTTGAATTCGATTCGGTAAATCTTTTAATGCTTTCGTTAACTGTAACAAAATCAATCATAAGAAATTAGTAATTACACGACAATAATATAGTTTCTGAACTTCCACGTGACAGACTCACCTCAACATCCGCCATATTTCTTCAAAAACCGGACTATCTTAAAGCGCCATCCATCATTGGCTTAAGTAGCATCCAAAATATATATGCTACTGAAAATTGTTATTCTTTTGAATTATGTATCTTATTTAATTAAATGTGTATTTTAATAATCTACTTTGAACATATATTTTAGGAATATATTTTAAATATATATTTTATTTTTAAGTATATATTTTTTATTTAAAAAAAAAAATTGTCAAATATTTGTTTTAAAAATAATATAAATATTATTTTACTTCTATATTTTATGAAATTAGTTCATGTTACATATATAAATATTATATTTTTATAAATTCAACTATTTAAATTCATATGTAATAGAATTTTTGTGTTAGATTTATAGAATATTTGCACATTTTGAAAATAAAGAAATTGCGAATTATAATACTTATACTTTTAAGTATTAATTATAAAATATTAATTATTTGCTATTTTATTATACATATCTTGTATAATCAAATAGAACTATATATGAGTGTTTGTTATTTATTAAACAAATGTTATTAAAAAAGATGTCATAGAAAGATATAATATTTATTAGCATTGTATTGTTTTTAATTATTGGTAATACATATTAAGTGCTAAATGATTTTTTTAGAGATACATGCTTATTAATTAATTAATGACAATTAACTTATTAAGTAAAATTTATAAAATATTAACATTTAAGATTTTCAATTATATTAGGTTATTCTAATTTTTTTCAATTTTTATACAATTTTCAATTTTTATTTCAATTTTAAACTTTTTTATGTTGGTAACATTGTTAGTCTGTTTTAATATGTATTATTATATATATTGACAATGTATTTGTGTACATACATGTATATTTATTCTTTAAAAAATTTATTGTATTATAAACGTAATCGTTTTATAGTTTTAGACATTAATAAGACTAATTTGATATTATTATAAAACTGATATTTGTGTATATATTTAAAAAGAATTAATTTAAACTCTTAAATTCAATATTTTATAATTTATAATATTCAATAATTTAAATAATTTTTTAAACAAAACATTTAGTATGACTGCTATACCAGTTCACATTGAAGGATGGAGTCTAAATAAGATTTTAGGTTCTGGAGGATTTGGTATTGTTGAACTTTGGACACATGAAAGTGGTAAAAAAATTGGTATGTAGCTTTTCTGTAAAGAAAATAAAATAATAATTAATATTTTAGTACTTAATATTTTATTTACTAATACTGATTAAAATAGTTATTATTTGAATGATATAAAATGAATTCTGAAAATAATAAATATTTATTTTATGAAAACTATAGCAATTAAGATATGTAAACGAGATGTTAAACAATTAAAAGAAACACAACGAAAAAGATGGATTCATGAAGTACAGATAATGAAACGTTTGAAGCATCCAAATATTGTTAAAGGATTAGATTTACCATTTAAACATCCAGATGATAAAGTAGATTTACCTTTATTATGTATGGAATTTTGTAGTAAAGGTGATCTAAGAAAGGTAAATCTTAAAATATATCTTTCTTTGATTAATGACATGATATTTCTGTTTATATTATCAATATTTTTTAGATTTTAAAAAAGACAGAAAATTGTTGTGGTGTTAGTGAAAAAGAAGCAATTAATGTAATGAAAAATATTTCTTCTGCAGTAGAATATTTACATTCTAATAACATTACTCATCGTGATCTAAAACCTGAGAACATAGTTCTACAAGATGAATATAACATTGTAAGTAATATTGCTTTAAATATAGATTTTATTAAATATATACATAACAAATAATAGCAATTATACATAAAATATGTTTTAGATTTCATATAAATTAATAGATTTGGGATATGCGAAAGAACTTGGAGAAGATAGTACCTCTGGATCTTTAGTAGGTACATTAAATTATATAGCTCCAGAACTACTATGGAAATTAACATATAGTTGTTCTGTTGACTATTGGAGTTTAGGTATTCTCTTTTATGAACTTATCACTGGAACAAGACCATTTCTACCTAAAATGCAACATACTATGTCATGGTATATTATATAATGATGAAAAATTACAGATAAAATTTCAATGTTAATTAACTTATATATTTTTTAGGATGCAACATATTAAAAATAAAAAATATGATGATATTTGTGCTTTTAAATCAAAAGGAAAAATAGTTTTCGCTCAAGATATTGTTGGTCCTACAAATTTATCTAAGTAATAATAAACTAAAGTAAGTCAATAGTAATGATAACAAAGTAATATTAATTTTATTTATTATATTTCTTATTAGTAACCTTCGAAATAAGTTGGTACAATGGTTTAAAGTTGTTTTACAATGGGATCCAAAGAAAAGAGGGAAACAACATGAAAGTGGAGTAACGAAGTTAGTGGTATTTGAATTGTTGCATTCTATTCTATCAAAACAGGTATTTTGATATAAAATTTTTCATATATTAATACACAATAATTTCATTATTATATACAATTAACATAATAATACACAATAATGAAATTATTGTGTATTTAAAAATACACATTATTATTTAAAATATAAATACTTCTTTAGATAGTCTACGTATTTGCTGCATCAATGTATAAAACTAATGCATATGAAGTAGATAGTACTACTAAGATTACAGATTTGCAATCTATGATTGAAAAGGATACTAATATACCATTAAATCAACAAACTTTAACAGATTACTTTGGTAAAGTTCTTATTGAAAATCAAATACCACTTTTATCACAAATTCAGGTATAATATAATGTTTTTTTTTGTGTTTATTATATCCACTTGAGTCCCAGGTAGCGCGATCGCGTTGTTTAGATTTCATGTCGAAAAATCCCAGTACATTTGAATCTATGGACACTGATGGTGCACTCAGAATCTGTCGAAATAGTGCAACTTTACTAAACCAAATGTTTACATCAACGTTGAAAAAATTGTGCTTTTCCTTCATTCATTCACACTCAATTTCAAAAATAATTTTCGAAATGAAATTGAACCGATCTCTTCGTATTCAATTAAGACAAGTGCTATTGCATTTTCAACAATGTTTTTTCAATGATCCCTGGGATTCAAACGAATATTCTGATTAACTCTTCAACGATTAGCTTTGTACATATCAAATAGTTTGAGTTTTTATGTCATTTGAAGCAATTTTCATCGTCAAATGTCATCTAAGACAATTTTCTAAATAATTTCTTGTCTATTTCTTTCTTGAGATATAGCATTTGTTTTTAAGACATTATTTTCATATAATAGAATGATATAATAAAATATTTTAGCAATAAAATATTATATTTGTATAAACGAGAGTCATGTGACACTCTGTCGTTAAAGAGTTAAATCTATGATAAAATAAAATAAAACAATATATAAATTTATGTTACATAGCCTTGTTTTAATTTAAATTACTAATTTTTTCGTAGGATTCAGTTTTATTCGTTTTTAAAAATGAAAGTCCTTTAAAAGAGAACATTCCTATGCCAGTTATTCCTATAGAAATTCAAAAAATGGTAAAATTGCCAAAAAATCAATTAGATTTTGAAACATTGCAAGATTATTACAAAGTATCAATATTTTTTGTCAATCAGGAAATAAATTTGTTTCGACTGTTTTTTTTTGCCTTAACTATAAAAGTGTAAGTGTTTTACATTATTAATTTTTTAAACACTTTGTAATTTGCCAGTTCATATATAAAATTAATATTAGTTTATTTTAAAATTTCATTCACGTATGAAATCAATATTTCAGCGATTTGGTAATCACAAGACTTGATACATTTAATAAAGATATAATAAATACATTAATAAATATAAATAAGTTTTTAAATGAGGTATCTACAGTTTGTAATAAATGGAAAGAAGAATATATAGATAAGGAGAAGCTAACAGCTTTGGAAATTAATTATAAAAAAGTTACTAAACTTGTTAAGGCCGCTGATCAAATAAAATTAAAATTTGATCTACTAATACAAGAAAGCAGTAAATTAAATGATGCAGTGAAATCTATTGATTACATTAAAGATATGTTTCAAATGTGAGTAAGGAATATTAAAAATGGGCGAATTTTGGTATTACACAAGAATGAAAAATTTTTTTTACAACACATAATGATACGCATTTTAAGGAATAAAAAATTTAATAATCTGCAAATTATGATTTATTGATTAAATAATTATTCAGAAAATCACACAAAAGATTATTTAAAAACATAGCAATAAATGGAGATTTAAAAATAATTAATAATTCAAATTAATGCGTCGTAAAAATAATTAAAAACAAGCAATTGAAATAATTGTTAGTCTATAAGTTTATTCTTAAACTTATAAAAAAACTTTTTCTTCCCAATTTATACTAAAATTTGCTGCGTATTTCTAATATTTTTTTTTTACTTTTATGTTTTGAAAAAATATTTACAATGTTATGTTTAAATTTTGGACAGATATAATAAAATCACAGAAATTTATGAATTACATAAAGATGAATACTCTCATAAAGATATAAGACCAACGGAGGTAGCAAAATTAATTTTTGAATTCTTAAAAATACAAGGAGAACAATTTTGCAATATTTTTGGAATTATAAAGTATGCATATCATCAATAAATATATTATATGTTAAGTTATAATTAATGTATCTTATATTAATATAATTAATATTTTCAGACAAGTAGCGAAATTAGAATCAAAACTCCGAACATTGGAAATGATTTTTAATTCAGTTATTGCTTTGAAGACAGTGTATTGTGAAGATTTTCAAAATATAACACAACGATCTCTTGATAACATCTCTAATGAAAAATGTTTAAAAAATGAAACTACAAATATTCTATCAAATATAGAAGTGTCAAATGAATTTAATAGTAATCAATCTTTAAATATGTCTAATATTAAACATCAAGAAATGATGGATGTACAGAATGATGTGATATATGATAACTTAATAATACGTTATACGTATGTTTCATTACGATTTTCATTTTAAATAATTATATGATATCTGAAATGAAGGCATAAATATATTTTTATTTTTTATTTTGGCAGATTGGATAATCTTTTAATGGAAATGCAAAATAGATATATGGACCTACTTAGTTTAGAATTATAAATATATGGTGGGAAATGTAAGTATGTATTACAGTGTTTGATTTTAAAAATTTTATTTTATCATTCAATAATATTTTATTATTTTTAGATTAAAATATTTCTATAAAATATACTTTTAGAAACTTATTTAATTATTTGCATTAATCACTGCAGCAATGTTATTGCTGTGTGATTCTTGATGCTCTTGAAATATAATGTCGTACACCCCATTTAATATTAGCATCTTTGTCTGTTTTGAGATATGTATAAACAGGACCATTTATTATATTTTTCTGTTTTATCTTCCATCCAATGTTATTTGACGATATTGAATGATCTGAAAATGATTATATATCAATATAAAACATGTTAAAATACTTTATTAAAATAACACCAAAATTTTATTTTATGTGCTGGTCTAAAATTGGCTGTGAACAAGAGGTATGATAATATATAAATATGTAATATATACAGTGCCATTAAATAGTTCATCTTTAAGGCAAATATTAAAGTTGTTTTGTAAAGTATCATATGTTATGCAAAAATAATAAATAATTTTTTCAAGATATTTTATATTTATCTTTCCACACATATGACATTTTATGTGAAATTTTTAGTATATGTTTATGATTAATATGAAGTAATTTAATATATATAACATATATTTATGTATACATATCGCATACGTACGATGAAAGTGATACAGCTTGAAATAGTATTTTCTAGAAGAAACAAAACGATGTAATTTGAAATATAATGTAATTAAATATACACTTATTCACAATAATAACCAGGATAAAACACAATAAAATATATTTATAGAATATAGCACACTGTCATATGAATTTGGAAGAATATTATAATTGTTCTTTATCGGCCAAATTATAAAAGTGAATAAGATTTTCATAATTAGTTAAGGAGAATCTCATAATAATTCTAAAATTGTTTTTTGGGTTGTGTCACTTTTATCGCTAAGTTTACGACATGATTAATACATTTTTTATTCCTTTATACATTCTAAGTAAAGTTGTAAGATTATTTTAATAAATAATAAAATTTAATAAATTTGAAAATAATGTACATTTAAATAAAACTATCAAAAATTTGTTTTAAATGTTACAACGTACCTACTTTAAACATTACACATAGGAATAAGTATATAAAAATACTTTTTAACATCTGTAACAGAATTAATTTTTATATATATATACACACACACACAAATATGTATATACATATGTTATGATTAATTTGTAATTAAACTATACTCACAAAGATATTTAAAACTTTACGATTCATTGTTATCAATATAGAAGTAGGACACCGACTATTTTATAAGAAAACTATACCAGTAGTTTTTATACTTTTACATTTAATAAAAAATTATACGGTTGAATGAATATGTAAGAGACAAATGTTTTGTTACACTTTCCCTTGTTTTCAATTCTTTCACATTTGCAATTCTTATTTTTTTAAAATCTATATATTAGAATGCAATAATATACACGAAAAAACCATATTATATTTTAAAATTTATTTTATTAAAAAAACTGTATATACATCCTAAACTGAGGATTAAACAACAATGTTAAAATAAATATGATTTTCATTTACTATTACTTTCTCTTCACTGAAAAACCTTACACACTATGCTATTTTTCTAGATTGTCCACGTACATTAACAATTATGCAATTTCACGTATAAAAGTTCATTGTACATTAACTTGACAAGTAAAAAAAGAGGAAAATGCGAACATCTTTTTTTTTATCTATTTATCAAATCTTCCACGAGAAATAGATATTATTCATTGTCACTGATATCTTCATCAGTTGTATACTCGGAATGTTCATCAGCTGCATCTACATCTTCTGCAGTTTCTTCATCTGAAATATCCCATTGAGGATGTTCTGTGGGTACTTCTGGTGCTTCTTTCACATCCAACTATGAACAAATATTTTTATAATGATCATAAGATAATAATACTGTAATTTTCGTTTGCATTATGTAAATAAAATTTCATCACACACCTTAATATCTTGAGCTTGATCAAAGCCAAGATAGGAATCACTACGTAAACAAACAGTAAATGTATAAACACCTGGCCATCGAGGCGCTGTAAATTTTAACTGAACTTCTTCAAAGTGTGCTAACGATGTAACATAAATAGGAGTTGTTAGTAAAGTTTGGCTCTTGCGATCACAGATGTAAACCCACCAGTATTCTTGTTTCACATCCGGAAAGAGTGGACAATGTACTTCATGTGATATATTACTCCTTCCTTCCAAAACTTTTTCTCTCTTTGAAATTCTTTGTTGAAATCTATTTATAAAAGTATTAATTGAAATTATACAAAATTTTTCAGATATTATATAACTTCACTGATGGATTCAGCATAATAAAATAAAGAAAAAAGTTTATATAATGATATATCCTTAAATGTTACCTTATTTCTGAAATACAATTTATTTTCTAATAATTCCTTTGATAAATTGAGTTTTTTATTTAATTTTATAGAATGTTGGTACATTAGATACAATCTTATAAAAAAACATTCTACAACACTTTGTATAAAAATTGTATAAAAGTTCCCTTACAATGTTTCTAAATCGCAATAGTAGTACATATATCAAATATTTGATAGAATCTTGTGAAACTTTACATTTTATAATATTAATAATACTAATAGATTATAAAAATGTAAAAACAGCAAACATGTTGAATGTAACGCCATATTAATAAGAGGTTTTTATAGAGAACGAATTAAAATGTTAATAGTAAGAAATCTATATAGAAGCTTGTATTCAAATCAAAAGTGGCCACTTTGAGCAATTTCTGTAAAGATATGTAAACAATTGATACAATATAAAAATAACTGTATCTCGAAAACAAGATCATATCGTGCATATGTTTATCTATTTTTCTTATTTTAATATGCTAAATTCAGCAGTGAAGTTACACCCACATATTCTGGAACAAATTATTATCAAGAAAATATTTTACCTCTCCCATTCTGTATCATCGTCATCTATGGATACATCTTTTTTTTCATGACTATCTTCGTCATTACTTCTGTCACTATCAACGTCACTATCACTGACATCAGATAATTTATCTTTGGAAGACTCTTTTTCTATCTTATCTTCTTTCTTTTTTGCATTAGGGGTATTCGTTTGAGCATTATTGCTAGACTGAAATTGTGTCTGAGCATTTTTTGTAGAAGCAAATTTTTTACTAGTACCTTTCTTGTGAGATTTTTTTTGACCTTTTTTTTGCCTAAGCCATGCCGGCTTCTTTACAGATTGGTTCTGTTCTTCTAATACTTCATCAGGAGCTTCATTGTTTATTTTGCTGTCATCAATCATGGTTTGTTCTTTAATAGAATCATCTCCAAATAAATGTTTCATATCTTTACGAGTTAATGATACTGTTACAGTCACAATAGCACCAGCAGTATAAACAGTTGGATTTTCATCATCAATTACTGTAAAATATATTTCATTTCATTATTAAATATATATATATTATATGCATGTATAATATAATATATATATTATATGCATATATAATAAATATATAAATTTCCTATATAAGTATAGGAAATATTAAATAACATATACCTTCGGATCGTACTTTAAATTCTATATATGGCATGTTTCCAAGAACTTTCATTACATCTTCATATTGACTATCTGATAAATGTCTAAGAATCAGTCTTCTCTCGTCTCCTTTTAATTGTGCAAATTGTTGAAGACTTTTGATTTGATGCTGACAATACAAGTTTAATTAATTTTAATAGTTATTTCACATTAAATTAAAGTATTTTAAATAGTAAGTTAGTTATTCCACATTAAATTAAAGTATTTGAAATAGTAAGATAAATGAGTGATACCTTTTTTGGTAAGAAACATTTTAGATTATCTTCAGTTATATGCGGTAATTGTAAAAGAGGATTTTTAAATTCCCAAAAACCTTGCACTATCATTGCACACAATTTCATACAATTTTCTACAGTTTTTATAGTTGGTAAACGTGGAACTATAATGAAATATTGATCAAATTATAATTTTTAAACATGCATTGCTATTATAAAATGTTTGTACTTGGGAAAATATAGGGCAAGTTATAGGTAAACCTAACTTATAATTTATAGCATACATATATACCTCTTCTAGCATAAGCTAATAGAATCACTCGATTAACACAAGTTACCATTTCTTGAATTAAATATGGACATTTTTTTACTATATATTGTCTATCTTTTTCTAACGTTTCTGGATTTAATGATATACGAGATAAATGTGCATGAATTAAAGCTCTAGCTTTAATTGAATACGAGTCACATAATGGTGTTGCCTTGTTTTTTGCACCTATATCTGGTAGCTGCTTAATAAGCTGAAAATAAAAAAAAAAAAAATACAAAATCTAGAATTACCTTAAGCTATTAATTTCTTCAGACAAAGAAATTTTTAATTTCAAAGTAAACAATAAAAGCCATATGCCACTTGTTTTACTTCTAGTATAAAACTGTATTAAACCTAACAAAAAAATCGTACATTACAATAAAACGAATTCAATTATAATTATAATTGTAAAAACAACTGAAACATAGTATATATCTTACCGAATAAACTTCTTCACTATCTGTATATCTCTCAACTATTTCTGCATTTCGTTTCTTATGAAATTCAAATGAAGCAGCAAGAATCATAATAACCCTTTTTAATGACATTGAAGGATATTTAATGAAAAAAATGTAATATAATTGAGTAGTTGCTAACAATACCTAAAAACCAATGAAAGATTAGAGTTTATTAATACTTGCTTGATTATTATTTAATTGTACATGTATTGTAAATTAGATGTATTTACTTGATCACCAGTGTAACGAATACTTTTATACCACCACATGCCAACAGCTGTTGGTAAAACAAACATGAAAACTAGTGAATAGAACCCTAAAACCCAAACTGAATTTTCTTTTTCAACTATCCAAGAAGGTAAAGCAATTCCAAAACTCATTGCTCCTGGACCATCTGGATTTCCATATTTTTCCCAATTTTTCCGTGCTTCTTCATCCGTTAAAGCTTGATAAGCTATTTTTTTATGTCAAAATAAATATTTTCTTTTTAATACCTTTTCTATTATGTATAATTTTTATTATTTTTATGTTATATTATTACAATATTATTATTAATTCCTTAAGTGATTAGTTTGTAACAATTACAACAATTATCTGGCTTATATATGGATGGTAAATAAATTTGTTTCTTTCTTGTTATATTAATATTGTACATCATTTTTCAGAGATGATTTAAAAAAATAAAATTTTATAAAAGAAGAAATGATCTTTCAAAAAAAGATGCAATTGATATCAAAAAAGATGACAACAAATTAATAAAACCTAATCAATGGAAAAAAAATGATATTGAGAGGACAATAAAATTATGTATTCTGTATTCTCAAACATACAGATAAACCTTTCATTATAATAAAATGGACACATATTAAAATCAAATATTCAAAATGTCATTTCAGATTCTTAAATAAAAAATTATTATTTATTTCTCATTTTTACTCTTCTTACCTTAGAGTAATTTTCTCAATTATAATTTCTCAATGATAATATTAACAATAGTAGTAGTAGTAATACAACAACAACAATAATAATAAAGAAAAAATAAGTATTTTTTAAATTATTTTTTAAATCATTTTACTTTTGCTAGTCACTTAAGAGATTATCATATAATTTTTTATCATTTTATATTTATCCTAACCTTTAGTTAATCTCATAAAAGCTTTTTCATTTCCAGTTTCTTTATCAGGATGAAGAATTAAAGATAATTTGCGATATGCTTTCTTAATGTCACTTTGAGATGAACTCTATAAATAATAATAATATTACAGATGTTAAATAGCTAAAGCATATACTTCTAATTGAATTAATTGTACTTACAGAAGAAACGCCAAGTATTTCAAATGGATCGAAATTAGCCATTTCATAATCAAACTGTGATACCTTATATGTCAAAAAAATAAGAACTACCCATCCAAGAATGATAAGAAATTTGCTACAATGACATAAACGTATAACATTTTTTAAAAATCTAAAATTTATACAAGTAAAATATATCTTATATCTTAAATATAATTACTCAAATAATGCTTTGGTTTCTTTCCATGGTTTATTAAGTCGTAGAATAATTTTCTTTCTTTTACATCCATCACATTGACACTCTTTTGCCTCTTGATCAGGATCTATTTATAAATAATAATGTAAAATATTAATCATACTACAATCAATAATATATAATCAGTTACATGAAAAAAAATTTAATTTTCTGTAATACTGAGTTTTTACATTATTTAGAAAAGAATATTTATATAATGAAGAAAATTTTATATAATAAAAATTTACTTAAAATAACATAACAATTTATTTGAAATTGTTAAAAATAAAAACAATGTAATATAACAAATATGTTATGAATTATAATAATTTATCTACATAATTTTTTAAATATTATCTGCTTTTAAAATCAAGAAAATATTTAAATGATTAATGAATATTTAAATGACTTTTTTCTATAAAAATTACTAAACACTAAGCAGAAAATCAACAAAAATATTGCACTCTGTTATTGTTATTATTAAAAAATTAATGAAATTAATGCAATATTCAATTAAGTACTGATTAATCTACTGCCACAATATTATGAATTAAATCAAACAATAAAAAGATTGAGTGTAAGACATAGTGTAAACTTATATAAAACAATTGTGAATTTAAAAAAATATATGCACTACCATGAAACATTGTTGCAGTATCATTTATTTTTTATATTAATCCAAATAGATTCGTCTAAAACTAACCTTGTTTGGGGCAACGTGGCCAAAAGTAATATGTCACAGGTATTTGAAGAAGTGCCGAAAATGATAGCAAAAAGTAGAAAAATGTCCCACCACTTTCATCGTATTGAAATTTTTGGCCGCTCATAGCTCATTAAGTAATAATCTTTAAGTATATTGTTTAAGTACATTCATTACTAAACTCCACTTTAAATTCACGGTACCATTCACTATACAGTACAGTTATGGAGTTGTCGTCGTCAAGACTGCCAACTCAGCACCGAATGTTATTAGTTTAGGTCCGACGTGCAATTGGCGGTTTTAATTACGTTTATACGAATCTAATAAAAAGATTAAGAAGTACTTTGAAAAACAAAAACGATGAAATTTGTTAACAAACGATATGTCGTTCGCACTGTAAAGCTGCAGATTGCTTTGCTATCTCTAAATGAACTTAGAATACGCCATCGCGTAGTTTTGCAATTCTGTTGTACTCTGACCGTGAACAACGTCACTAATGCCAACGTCATGCAAATATTAACTGTAAACAAATCTTGAATCGATATCAAAATCGATAAATACATCGATTTTATAAATATAAATTTACGAATCGAGAGCCGCTATCTTTGTTATCTTATATATAAATAAAAAAAAAAGAATATATATATATTTTTTTGTAAAGATGAACTCAAAAATAGAATAAAAATATATATAATTAACTACAATATCACGGAGAAATCACGTGGAAATGTATACTAATGTTTTAATAATGTTAACTTATAAATTATTTTACATAGCGCGAAAATAAAGTCATTGTTATATAATTGAAAATCAACGTATTAAATGAATTTCACGAATGCAATTTCTCTAACATTATTTGACATTTTGTTTTAAAATTATTTTGATTTATTTCTGTTATATGATTTATTAGATATGTTTTATAAAAAAATTTCCCTTATTACTCGAGTTAATTTATTAATTATATAATATCAATTATCAACTGACATAATTTAAAATTGAAATTATATGAAACTAGTTTGCTGAGATAAGTATGTACACTATGCTCTAATGCATAAGTTGAGGAACTAACAATGCATCCAACTGTGCTTGTAACATTCTGATTAATGGTTCTGTTTGGATTGGTTTATTTACAAATACTGCCAATGTATGGTTTCGTTTGACAATAAGACTATAATATTTATGATATATATTAATTATGTATAATAAACGCACGAAAAAATTGTGATACTTAGCTTTGATAACTCATATATTAAATTTCTAAGGTACGTCACATTTAATGGTTAGGTTAAATACATTTTAAAATGCATGTGGTTTAACCAATTACGCATAGTATTCTTTATTATGATATATTGTTTTTTCAAAATTGTATTATTGTTAATATGCTTATTACCATATCGACACTATTTTTATCATTTACATTGCATTTTTTCATATTTTTAATATTTTTGAAACATTGTATTTTATACTTGATTTTATATTTTATTTTAATGAAATGTAGATATTATTTTGACACATGTTTATTAATGATTTTAGATTTAATAAGTAATTGTAATATAAATTATTAATAGATTATTTATTACATTTTTTTATAGGATTAATACATCTTTGTATTGAAATCAACAATGTCTGAGAAAAGTATAATTGAATGGACGCAAAAAGATGTGACAAGATGGCTTAGTGAAACTGGACATAAAAAATTTATCGATTCATTTCTTGATCAAGAAATTGATGGAAAGGTGCTCTTAACTTTGAAAGAAGATGATTTAAAGTTAATATCCAAAAACTTACAGACAATTGGTGATATGAAAAGATTATATATTAATATAAAACAATTACAAAGGGATAATATGGCAGTATTATTTGAATTAGGATATATTGATATATTTCCTCCATCAAATTTTTATAGTCACCATAAACATGAAGTAAGAAGGAAAGTTTTAAATACATAATATTTAAAATTCTTATATATATATATTTTTAATACTTAATATTTAAAATTTTTATATATATATTTTTTAAATATATGAAATGTGATAATAAAATAATATTAGTTTTGTTGACACTAAAACTAAAAATTTTTTTTCTAATAAACAGATGCCTAGTAGTGGTACAAACAATGAAGGTTCTATTGAAAATGAATTTTATTCAGCATCTGTATCAGAAGATGGTCATGCATCACATTTGCCACCTGAAATTTGGAAAGCTTTCATTAGTTTGGCATATTTATTTATTGTTACATGGATTACTGCCTTTGTGATGGTCATTGTTCATGATAGAGTGCCTGATATGAAAAAATATCCTCCGTTACCTGATATATTTTTAGATAATGTTCCACATATTCCTTGGGCATTTGATATGTGTGAAGTTACTGGAACTATACTTTTTGCAATATGGCTTATTGTACTAATTTTTCACAAATACAGGTAAAACGTATAATAAATGTATGATATTTGAAATTAATTAATTTGTAAAATTGATCTTTTCAAAAATATTTAATGAATTTTTATTAATGCAGATTTATTTTATTACGAAGATTTTTTGCTTTATCTGGTACAGTCTTCCTGTTAAGATGCGTTACAATGCTTATTACTTCCTTGTCAGTACCAGGCGCACATTTACAATGTCAACCACGGAATGTTCCCGAAGATTGGACAAAGTACAAATATTTTGTTCCTTAAAATAGGTAATATGAAAATCAATTCTATTAATATTTTTATTTTATAGTTCTGCATATGTAGAGTTATACAATAAGATTGCTATGGCTTATGTCATATGGCGTGGTGCTGGTATGTCGATTCAAGGTGTTAGGACTTGTGGTGATTATATGTTTAGTGGACATACCGTCGCGTTAACTATGTTAAATTTTTTCATTACAGAGTGTAAGTATTACTATGTATTTAAACAAATAAATTATGGATAATATATAATGTATAGATAATATATTGACATTTTATTTTCAGATACCCCACGACAATTGTATTTCTTACATACCTTTACATGGATGCTCAATATGTTTGGTATATTTTTCATCTTAGCAGCACACGAACATTATTCCATTGATGTTTTTGTAGCTTTCTATATTACATCACGATTGTTTCTTTATTATCATACTCTAGCAAATAATCAAGCATTGATGCAACGTGATTCAAATAGAACCAGAATTTGGTTTCCATTATTTAGCTTTTTCGAATCTTCTGTCGATGGTATCGTTCCAAATGAGTATGAATCTCCGTCTCTAATTATTTGTAATCTAGCGTGTACAGGAAAAGATATATGGCATTTGGTTCGATCCTCAATTTGCTTCCGTAAGTCATGGCGTAATTTAAACGGCAGAGTAAAGAATAGCACAAAGAAGGAGCACTAATCAATCCATAAGTTGCTTCAGTTTTATATTTCTTGATAATAGACTTTTGAGAATATTAATTTTATGTGACAATTCTCTTTATACTGTTTAAATAACAAATTATATAACAAAACAAATTAATAAGTATTTATTTTTGGAAGTCAAATTATTATAGTTAGTAAAATGTCCATTATCAAAAGGAGTTTATACGATTTGTTTAAATACCTGTAACTTTTATAAAATGATTATCCATAGTAGTTCATTTGAACTCTTGCCTTCCAAAAGAAATTCTAACTACTAAAGTATTATATTATTATCATATTTAACTTTTCCAATTTTTATTCAATTTTATTTTCATTGTTTCTTAAATTTAGCGTTAGACATATTTTTCTTTATTGTTGTTATAAAAAGTTTGTTTTCTTTTTATAACTATATGAAGTAAATTTAATAAGTAACAAAGATTTTAAATTATTTATATTTCAAACTATAGTTTTTTAAAATGTTGGATTATGTTCAATATGTCTGTAAACTGAAATTGCAAGTTTATGAAAGTCATATTTATGGAATCTTAAATAAATTGCAAGAAAAATGCTAACAATTGATTCGATATAAAATTGTATTCGTTTATTTCATAATTTTTGATATAGGTTTTGAAGAAATAAAAAATTTAATAATACAGTACTATCTAGAAGTATAAGTACTGTATAGAAATAGAATAGATTTTTCCACTTTTACTTCATATATATTTTTTACTAAAATTAAATATAAGCGAAGAGATTTTGGTGATTCTATTTTAACAGCTATTACATATTCTTCTCTGATCGTGACCATTCGTTTCTAATTTTACGTATCTACATAAATTGTAGTAACGAAAAATAATTACGCATGACCAAATAATTAATCACACGACGGTCATGATCAGATATATATGTATATATATTATATATGCGATTGAAGTACATTAATAATAACGCTATTCTTTATGCAATTTAAGTGAAGTACAATTAAATGAATATTGAATTTTTCGCAAGAATTAATCAATAAGAGGCTACGTATACAGTGATCCATAATATGTATTTATATTTGTTATAAATAGAATGTATGATTATTTAGATGATTCTTAAAAGAGGCTTTTAGTGTTACGCTATCGAAGAATGATTAGCACAATAATAGGAAAAAAGTTATGTATATTAATATTTGTACATATAATTATTGTATTCTATGACCATTTTATATTAAGTTAATGAAATTATTTTTTTATATTGCTTTATTGTAAATACTTTTTATATTTTTTTTTTTTTTATCAATAGGAGCACATTCTATAAGTGTAATATCGTATATTATAATTATATATTATATTATAATACAATTATAATTATCTATTACAAACAACTTTTGTAAATACAATATAAATATTTAAAATATCTAAAAATTATTTTTAAAATTAATATCAGAAGGTGCTAATTTTATCGTGAATAAAAAGATATAACAAATAACATTTTCGATAATGTATTCTTTCAAAAATATTTAATGTTCAAAAAAAAAATAACATACACTACCCCCATTTAATTTTTTTTGTATAAGCTAGCAGATAATAAATTATATGTATATGTATGGTAATAATAATTTCTTATAGAGTTTTGTCAGAAATAGTAACGTCTACGTAACTGTACTGTTCCTATAATTAAACCATCGTGTCGGTGTACAGACCGTCATAGTTCAGAATCTAAATGTCGAAGTTTTGAAGTGATCCTATCACGTATTCAGTGTTTTACGTATTAATTTATTATTCTTTGAAAATTACAAAATTAATAAAATATGTGAAGTGAATTGAAATATGCACCATCTTAGCACTCTGTTTAATTTTATTCTCATTATCTCCATACTCGTGTGTCACAGGTATGTATGTATAATAAATTTCTCTGTAATATTTGAAAGGAATTTTACTTCCGGAATAAGTAAGTTTCAAGTGAAATGAAATGTCTACTATTTTACTTTAATTATAATATATATATATATATAATTATAATAAATATTTTGTCTTAAAATAATTTAATCGCATATTTTATTTTTAACATAACTATATATTATTGTTTTCAATTAACATAACTAAATATGATTTGCATAACAATTTTATCATGAAATTTATTCCTTCCAAGTAGTAATATATTTTTTATTTGTAAAAAGTGTATAGAGAACACACAGAGATTTAATTTTAAAACGACATTAAATATTCAATAATTAAGAAATCATGGAATATCAAACGGAAGGCATCTGCCCGATCTGTAATCAACGTGCAATGCTGAAATGTAACGGTTGCAAGCAACAATTTTATTGTAAAAAAGAGCATCAGCGACAAGACTGGCCTAGACATAGATCAACTTGTCAACCATGGGAGATTCGTGAAAGCTCCGAACTTGGACGATATCTAGTGGCATCAAGAGATTTAAATCCGGATGACGTAATCTTATCAGAATCACCTTTGATTTGGGGCCCGGCATTACATTCAGATCAAAGAGTTTGTGTTGGCTGCGGAAAACGATGTAAGAGTAGTAGTACAAGATGCACAAAATGTCTTTGGCCGGCGTGTGATGCGAATTGTCCTGGTCTTACTGATAAACATAGACACGGTCTGGAATGTTCTTTCCTTATAAAAGCAAGGATCATTCCTAGGTTTGTAACATAGTGTATAAGACAAAAATACGACTGCATTTAGAGAAAGGAAAATATTGTCACTAAAAAATTTTATCGAAAATATGTTAGTTTTAATAATTTAGAGGACGAATAAAGGAAATAAAATTTAATTATATTTTTTGTAATACTGAATATTGCAGAAAACTGGAATAAAAGAAAAAATATTTAGTTATATTGTTAACAAAGAAAGTTAATATAATAATTCGATATAAATAACATATTACAATCAATTACAATCAAGTACTATGTAACAAAAAATCAATGTATAATATTGAAATAAAAAAATAGAAGCGACAAGTTCAATATTTATGCATACAAGATATCCTGTATTTTATTGTTCAAACTTTGCTGCTGTATTCTATAGATGATATATACAGTAAAAAGTTTAGAAATGCTTCATATTAATTTTCTTGATTTAATATCAGATAAATAAGACAAGATACATAATATTCATGAGGTCACTAGCTCTTACGCCTCTAAATTTCTACTTATGACACTTTATAATACAAAGATGAGAATCAAAACTGCACGTGAAAAAATTCGATAAAACATGAAATTTGGTTTATAATAAATTCGAAAGCATTTAATTTACATTGATAAAAGAGGATAATAAAGGAATATTTCGAAATGTATATACAAGTATAAGTATACAGCTTTACATTAGATATTTTTGTTATAATATTTTAATGAAGCATTTATGGTCTTTTTGCATTTTTAGTTATATATCATACTGGTGAAGTTTTAACACTAAAATGCTGGACAACCCTGTATATTTATGCATGACTTAATATGTTTGTAATTAGTGGTATTCATTTTCCAGGTGCGATGTTCTTTTAGTAATACGTATGTTAGTATTATGGCGCACAAAATCAAAATATTGGCGCTCTATAGAAAAGTTACAAAGCCATGAAGATTCTCGTGGTCAAGGAACAGATGCATACGAAGAAACAATGAATATATATGGGCATATTAAACGTTTTTTACCAGATGACCTCTCTGGCGAAGATATTGTGCACAAAATTTGCGGTTTAATAGAAGTGAATGCACTGGAAACTTTACCACCTGAGGGTTGCATTGCGATCTATGAAACAGCATGTCTTTTGGAGCATTCTTGTTTAGCTAATACAAGACACAATTTTAAAATCGATGATAAGGGCAGACCTCGAATCATTGTGAAAGCTACTTGTTCAATAAAAAGGTATGTAAATGTGTATATTTTGCATTATAAATTTCTCTTGCAATTTTTTTTTTATATATTTTTAGTAGATTTTGTAGCTATCACATTTTGTACTACAGAAATTATTTAATATTTTTGTGCCAAATGCAGATTATTTACATATTCTATTATATTTACCATAAACTAAAAATACAAAAGGTTCAAGGCTTTAGAAGCTTATTCTAGATATCCACAAAAGGAAATAAAGTAAAATTTAATTAACATACAGGATGTCCCGCGATTCATTGAAGAATTGTTTGGGATATGATCATTTCCTGATCATTTTTTACGAAGTCAGTTTAAACATCGACAATTCTTCATTGTCATTGTTACAATTACATTCTCCACTGTAGAACAGAAAAATAATTGTTTTGAAATTTGCAAAAAGTACTTGATGTATTTTTCTTTTATTTTAATACAATCTTCTTTTATATTTTCAAATATCTATTTTTATAGGTCCATTGTTAGTGAATAGACAAAAGTGTTTATAAATATGAGTTTACAAAGAAATGATCTACAGAAATTTTTCCAAAAAGATTCACTTGGTATCAAATATTTGTAAATATAAAATATTTTACATCAAACGAGTTAATTTCAAAATCTATTTTCTAAAATTTTTAATCTTCTTCTTTATGTTACACTAAATAAAAGCTTAGAAGATTTGTTTGTTCAGTTTTGAATATATTTATTAATATATTTAAGTATTATGCTAGCTTGTTCTACTTTTAATCTCAGAACAGAAGACAATTTTCTTTTTGAATAATAGACCCAGATAGAAAAAAAATGATTGAATAATTACTTTTTATACGTATATATGTATTTAGTAAAGCACATCTGGTGTTCATATTATTATATAATTATTATAATAATTAGAAATTTTTCCATAAATACGTAATATTTTCAATAACTAGATAAATTATAATTGAGCGTGATGATGTTCATGAAACCTACATTATGTGTGATATATTCTCTAAATAAGTATTATAGAATATTCTTTTGAAATTTGATTATACATTCTGCGTTTTATTTTTATTTATATGCGCGTGTGCATTTATATACATATCACATTTACATATGTACAGAGGAGACCACTTGAGCACAATGTATACACATGCACTTTGGACAACGAGGGCACGAAGAGCTCATCTTTTAGAGACGAAGTATTTTTCTTGTCATTGTAAGCGATGTGTTGATCCAACAGAGTTGGGTACACATCTCAGTACCTTAAAATGTCCCCACGACAAAGGTCTTGTTTTACCTAAAGATCCGCTAAATTTTGATTCACAATGGGGATGTAACTTATGTCCTGGAATTTTGACTGCATCGGAAGTGAAGCAGTTCATTGATAAATTGGAAGAGGATGTCGATGAAATTATGTATGAGGCCAACAAGGATAAATTGATCAATCTTCTATCTCGGTAAAATAATTTTAATTTGTCATATCGGATAAAAAATAATGTCTCAGCGCGACGGTGATGTTGATTGCTGCCCGCTTTGCTGAGGTTCTCTCGTTCGGCCTTTTACCGTCGTCGGAGAGATGATTTAATAAAAAGATGACTGTGTGTTTTTAATACTTATATTTCACTAACTACATATATATAAATATTGCATGTGTGGTACGAGTCTGGGAGATGTGTACTGCTTCTCTCCTCATGTAACACTGACTGACTGTTGCTAAGAATTATTTCTAAAGCTAGATCCTTTTTCTAGGTTTGGTTTTGTTTCTACCCTTACCGAGCCTTTCCGCATCCTGTCTCTCCCTCTAAGGCAAGAGAAAGTGCCATTATATGGGAGAATGACAGGACATGGAACTTCTCGGTAAGGCCGATTTTTCCTAAGAATTGACCTGACTGACCGTCTTGGAAGATTCTGTTCTGCTCCAGAACAAATAATATCCTATCTATAATAACTCTTTCTAGAGAAATTCTGTTTCTCTTTTCTATTTTTTCACTATGTAAAATATTTTTATATTTTTACTATCATATTTATTATATATAGGTCTATTTTTATTATACGTATATAGAACATTACACCTGTACATAAATAGAATATTATTATACATTGCATATACATATATGACATATTGTATCCATTCCAAATGAATTATGATTAAAAAATTACATTTTTCATTATGCGCCAAAAATAATGAAATGTTTTTAATTATGAGGAGGAAGTATTCGCTGATAATAGGAATATAATTATGGAATTGTTAAAGCGTCATTTATAAAGAATTTCTTGTTGATAAACGAATCGAAATGGAGTTAAAAAGTAATTTGTTGATTTTCTTATTCTAACAATTAAATTTTTTTTAAAATCTGAGAGCTTTAATGCTATAACAAATCGCAAACAATCAAGACATTAGCACTTTTATAGCAAGATAAGTTATGTTATATATATTTTATACGCAATCTATTTAGTAGAGATGTCACTCAAGATATAATACATATTTTGTTATAAAATAATATATTATTGGAATTTCGATTGAATAATATTAATTATGTACAAATTTTCAAGAATTTATTTTAAAATTTTATTTGAAACATATGTATTCCTCTGGGATTGAAAAAGTTAACTACAGAAAATAAAATTACGTAGTTGACACACTTTTTGTAGAAACTTTTTGGTGAATATATTAAGAAAGATAGAAATTTCAACTGAACAGAATTTAATATTTATATTTCAGTAAAATACTTTATTATTTCTCTGGGAGTGTATGTTCTATTGGGACTGAAAGAGTTAAATATTATATTGAAACAAAAGTTGATAATTCAACTATAGTTATGTAATTTTATTTTACTTTGATTTGCAATTAACGACGATTTTAAATATTGTATTGAACGAATAATGTAAATATAATTATGTAATTTTAGGCTAACTGCGCTGTTGCATCCTGGGCATCAACAGTGCATAACTGTCAGCCATTCATTGATTCAATTACTACCTGCTGACAATCCGAAAAAAGCGGAATTATGTAAACGTATTATAGAAACGACTAAAACATTAGACCCTTATGGTGCGAGATTGGCGTTGTACACTGCAGTTGCATTGAGAGAATTGTCTACTTGTTCAGGAGAAGACAGAAAACGCCTTTTGTCAGAAGCAATATCGTTATTGCAATATGAACCAGAGAATTCGCCTGGTGAAAAGCTTCGAATATTAATAGAATCTGAATTGTAACAGTTCTATTTAACGTTTGATAAGATGGGCATAATAAAATTTGGATTGTAAAAGTTATTCATATTCTGCATTATATTAAATTTACAAAATACATTTATATTATGAAAATTGTTTTTGTCATACGATCTTACACTATAATAATAACTACAATGACTTATTAATATTCGTAGACTACAATGTTCGAAAGATCTATGTATTTCTTTATAATAGTGTTAATGAAGTAATTTTTTGTAAATGCAGTAGAGCCTTTCATATCTAAATTTCCATTGTTGGAATACTTTTAATACTAGAATGTTTTATTATTTGAACTATGCTATTATCTGAATAGCATATTTACTAGTAACAAATACCTTTTCTTTGTACTAAAATAAAGGTTTCTCATAATTGCATAATTGAATAGAATATTGTTATCAAGAAACAATTAGTTCAATAATGTTAATATAAATATATAGGGTGTCTCGAATTTTGATGTTAAAAGTTCGGCAACGTATAGGTGATTGAGAAGTTAAGAAAAAATGTTCTTTAGACGTTTTTGCTTCATTTTGAAGACAATCGAGACAAAAGGTTTTCATTTTTCCATTTATTTATTTACACTTATTGATATTATTATCATCCATATTATCATCTTATAATATTATGTATATCATCCATTTAATAAAGATACTGTTCGAAAGGTTGGTCACCTGCAGTAATGCAAGCATTAAATTGAATATTGATTACTGCGATTGTAACTGGACATTGTTCTGGTGATTAGTGTATTACGGTTTGGTCTCTCAGTTACTTTCTTGAGTTGAGTTGGGATCAAATAAACTTATTGAGAAAATTGAAATTTCTCTGTTTCTTTCTTCGTGATTTTCTCTAAATGATTTCTTAGTTTATCGGTTCTCTGATTTTGACATTTAAATTCGGGACATCCTGTATAGCTAAGTAATATTCTGTCAAACATCGTGGTGTCTGAATATTAACACATTTTGTTCTGGTGACGTAAAAATACATTTTTTCCATATTATCATTTAATCGTCACCCATCGTACAATATTTGCTTGATATACATAGCTGATCAAAAGTCAATTTTACAATTTCATTTAAGTTGTAAAATTTTTGCTACCCGAAACAGTTGAATGTATCATTTATCGTTGGTGCATTTATAAAGTAGATATCGAGTCTGATCGAAAGTTAGACATTTTCATACTACTCGTTTCGCTCTTTACATTGTTTGAAATAATTTCAAGCAGAGTGTCTTGTATTTTAATGTTCAAACATTGTCAGTGTGCTCTATAGATGAGAATAAGACTGAAATCTCACGTAAAAAAAAATTCATTATAATTTATAATAATTTAAAATTAAATAATAAAAAAAATTTAAAATTAAATAAAAAAATTCATAATAATTTATTATAAAGTTATAATAAAGATATGAAACGTATATTTACATTTCGTAGACATCCCCTTTTACCAATGTAAAATTGATATCGTAATATTATTGAATTTACTGTGGAGATTGAATTTCAAATCAACTTTGTTGAATTTCTTCACACGTAATCAATTCATTTCACGTAAATATTTTTGTATTGTAAATATTTGCTTTCAAAAATAACTAATGACTTTGCTTTTTCATAAGTAAAAAACCTAATAATAATGTAAGGTCTAGGAAATCAGTAGATTGATTCTTCTCGACTAATCCATCGTTGAAATTGATCGTATTCACACTTCATATTTTTATTATGAAGGATTTATTAACTTTTCGCTACATATTTTAGTTTTATTTTTACATATAGAACACACTGGCAAAGTTTGAATATTAAAATGTTAAATTAAAAGAAATTGTGCAAATTATTTTCGTTTTGAAAACTTTTTCACTAAGCATGTTCTTCACTTTTAGCAGTTCTGTATCTATCTGTGATTATTCACATTGTTATAAAATATTTTAAACATTATTACATTTGATGAAGGTTTGTCCCACGATGAAGAATTGGCCCCACGATTGTCCGTTTTTTTTTGTTTCTAAAGCATTATTTCACTATTAAACAGAAAACATAATTTTAGCCAAGATAAAAGATAATTTTAGATCGATTAAATACCTTACTATGCGTCGCGTTTTCGCTGGTAATTTAAACAAGTTTCGTAAATGGTAAATATGGCACAAAATGTGTTAATAAGAGTCACTGTACGTAACATTGATACAAAATTTAAATGACATATTGTCTGAATGATGAAAGTGGACACAGCTATTAGCACCGTGCTGTATAGTTTTACGGTGTTACATTTTATTACAAGATAACATTATATTTACAGATGTAATTTGTATTTAAATCAACAATGTTATTGATGTGTACTGGTCGTTTCAATAAAATTCAGTAATAAAAACGTATTTTAAACTAAAGTAAAAAAAAAAAAAAGAAGTACAAATTCCAAGTAAACGTTATTGGATTATAATAGTTTGTAAATCTAGACTAGATTTAGCCTCGAGGTGAAGTAACATTTTTTCATAATGAGAAAGTACTTTTTTATACTAAAGTGGATAAATCGATACATCGATAAATAATATTCTATTGGAGCAATTTTCAAATGATATAGCGATACGTAAATTTTATTTTTGACAACGAAAGACCATGAGCAAACATATTTTAAAAGGTACAGTGTTTCAATTACATCAGCGGTTATTTCAAAAGAATTAACAAGTAATTTGCACCATGATCTTCGAAAAATAAAACTACTTTTGTTATCAAAAAAATATTCAGATAATTCTGTTCATTTCAATTATTTTGTTTTCTTACAACTGACATTTTGAACTCATAAATCTTTAAATCATGCAGTTTTCATGTAGTAAACAATAGTTTTGTCCGTTTACAAGTGATATTTCAAATCATACAATTTTCGTGAAGTAAAAATAATTTTAATTTAAATAAAATTACACGTGGACCAAAACTTTATGCGGGTAATATCTAAAAGATCTTAACTTACATCAGAAATTCAATGTTTAACGTTCTCATAGTGTACCAAAGAATTGCTTATTCAATCAATAGATAAACATTAATAAGACAGCAATCCCTCGATCATCTGTATGTTCATTTCAATATAAAAAACGAAGAGAATACTAAATAGTAAGAAAGCGAAATAAATGGTTCTAAACAAAGTAACAATTTATGTGATCAAAGTTCATCTTGAAGATCATCAGTGAATATATTCCTATTTTCTTTGATGATTATCAAGGTAGACAAGAGCGTCGAGTGCGTACAGTTAACAACGGATATGATAAAGACTGTCCTTTTAATTGAGCTGTAATTTGTAAGAGATAAGCTTTTCCTGGCTGTAACCTCTTAAGGGTGAACGGAAGCGCTCGATCTTTCGGTGGACTTCGTTTCTCTTCGCAGACCTCGAAAGTGTACTCAGAACGTCGTCGACGATGAAGGCCGCATTGGTCTGGAATTGTCGTCATGCTAGCCAGCGATGAGCTGCTTTTTAGTTCACGCACGAGGATGCAATACTTTGCGGAGCCTGCTGATTCAACCCCTATTGTCACCTCGTGGCAAGTTCTTAAGGATCTGTATTCACGTGGCGCACTTTTGGATGGTATCTAAACAAAATGTAATTCGGTAATTTATACAGTGTAGGGCATAACTGAACCAATAACAATGAAGAATTGCCGATAACTGTTATAACTTTGTAAACCTAGACTAGATTAAACTTGATATAACTTTGTAAATCTAGACTAGATTAAACTTGATGTAACTTTGTAAATCTAGACTAGATTAACTTTGTAAAAAAAAATTACACAACACTTTATTCTTATTTTAAAGCACAGAATCTCTATTTTGATAGTGCTGAGTTTATTTTTTTCTAAAATGATTTTGCGTTGTGGATACTTTTTTCCTCGAAAGTTGTAAAAATTCGAATCTGTGAGAACATTGAAAAATTTTTTTTTTGCTATTAGATCTATTATCATTTTGAAAAATGAAATTTTCTCTTTACAACAAGCACTTAGAATTTGCCATGCAATTTTTTTTAGTATTTTATCGAATTTTGTATATTAGGATTCAAAAACTAACATTTCGTCATTTAATCTTAGTTTAAAGATCAATAAAATGATGAAAAAAAATCGTATAGATTTTAAGAGATCCTGAAGAAGAAATTTCAATCTTCAAGATAATAGTGGATTTAATAAAGAAAAAATTATTTTTAGAGATGTTTGAATTTTTATAATTTTTAAGAAATATTTTAATTTTTCTATTTCTCTCTGCTATGTGATATGAAATCATTTTTAGGAAAAACAAGATTGTGGAAGATTTTTTATGTCTTAAAATGAGACTATTTACTATTTCTTTTACAATTTATAAATGTGTTTACAAATTTAAATTATTGATAATTTTTCATCGTTATTGGATCAATTATATTTTTCATTGTATGTACTATATCTATTTTTATCTTTATGATTAAACATCTTATGGATTTAAATATTATTTTTGATTGATTAGTGGAATTAAAATGAAGTATCAATTAGTTCACTTTCTTAAATAATTTTTTATACACAAGGCTTCTGTGCAAACTAATTTATAAATCAATATTAGTGAATTACAAATTGTAAATTGTAAATTTCTATTTCAGAAATACTAAATAACTTTATAAGTTAAATTTCTAATATCTTCAACATGTTTCACAAGTATTTATTATAGTAAGTTGTTTATTATAAGTTATAGAAATTTATTTGTAACATTTTTACAAATATTTTTATTAGAGGCTCAGCTTTAAAACAACGCTGTTTTATTTTCGAATATATACTGTGGGCAATACAAAACGAAATTTCTATGTTATAAACATTTGTTATCACAAACACGATATTTTCACAAAATTTCTTCTTCATTTTTCTTTATATATCCGAAGAAAGGATAGCAGTTTTCATTTAGGAAGAGAAAATAAAAAAAAAGTTGTTTTGAACGATATGCAAAAAAGAAAAAAAAAAGATTTCATTCGGTGTAAGACTTCTTTCTCAATAATACTATTCTAGTCACTATATATAGTTTTTAATAAAAAAAATAATAATTTATTTTATCTTAAGATAATTATTGCGTGATTGCAATATTGTAATTCGTTTATTATCGAAATAATTTAAATTATGTATTAATGCATATTACTTTACGGAATAGTAATAAGAATAATTCAATTATTTGTAGTTTCAAGTTCACATTTGCCTATTTTTCATTTCATATATATGTAATATATATATATGTAATCCATATGTTTGTATCCCTATTATTAAAATTTTCCTTTTATTAAAAAATCCCAAGTAAGCTTAATCTTAAAAGTAAGCTTTAATCTTTTCTTGTAGATTTCTGTCAAATTAAAAAATTATCGGGGAATTGCTAAAATTATTAAATATTATTATCACCTCTTTTTACAGAGGCGTAAATATTGTACTAGATTTTTTTTTTGATATAAGTTTCTAATCCAACAATTTAAATTAATTGTATGTACTATGGAAGATCAGTAGAATAAGGATGTAAACTATCAGACATGCGTTGTTAGGTTTAAGGATTGCCATCTACCACTTAGATTGTCCTATATTCGTTCATGTATAAAAGTATCACAGAAATTAAAGATACTTTGATTGATGTCAAAATATCAATAAATAACTCAAATGAAATTTTTATTCCTCATTTTCATCTTATTTTGGCTTGTAGAAGATCCATTAAATTTTCTATCACCCGTTACTTTTCGTTTCAGTTATTTACAAAAATGTCGATTACTCAAAGATAAATTGCTTTGAGAGAATTTCTTTTTATAGATATAAATTTTTTGATGACTCTTGGGTAAAAGAGTACAATAAAAAATTAATATAACTTAGAAAGTAATTACAGCTTAATTCCGACTAATTATTTTATTTTTTTATGTTCACATTATTGGCAATGCGTGCTACTATTTTTTAAGTAGAAAGTTTAAAAATATTACGCATTGCTATATTTTTATCTCACATTATTAAATTTTTAGCGTGATTAGAGAACAATTTTACGCTAATATTATTCAGCATATATTAATTTATATAAAATATACCTGTGGATATATTGCAGACGATTCTTGAGTAGCTAATACTTTAATGGCAGATACTCGTACTAATTCTTGTGGTGTAGCGGATATCCGTAATGTATATGTTTTTCCAGAAGTTAAAGGTGGTACCCTTAATGATGCATATCCTACCACCTCTTTCTCCTACAAATATAAATTACAAAATGTGAATAAAATAAAATTCTACTCAATAAAAAAATTGAGATAATACTGCTGCTTCTTCACAAGAATCACATAATCTGTTTACATTCATAGATTTATGAATAATTAATTGTTTTATAATTATATAGTTTGATATAACAATCATGTGATTGCTTTTATCACATTGTGTGATAGAGTTATAATGGTATGTACATTGAAATACATTTAAATTATTATTATGAAATATTATTTCATTCAAAGAGTTCGTTAAAAATTATTAGAACCGATGTCGTTTCTATTTTTGCAAAATTAGAAACGAATAATGAATAAAATTATGTAATTCATATGACAACAAAGTTCAATTCACAAAGAAAACATTTTAACTTTAAATTGTGAAAATTAAAGTATGAAAGTAAGTTTAATTACATAAATAAAATGTGAAATAAAATGTAAACAAATAAATTTAATAAAATTAATTGTTTAATATAATTAATTATTCAAAACTGTGATTGTATTAATAGATATTTAATATTGCTAGATATTGTTTGAGATAACAATATAAAAATTCAATTTTTTGATTTACACGTAATAAAAATCTTTGTGCATTAGCCACGACTAGGAAATAGTTAGAAAAGGTTTATTACCCTTAAAATTCCCGAACCACTTAATTTTGCTCGGACGATGCCACCACCGCAAGGAAGAATATGAAAGGTACTCGAAGTATTTCCCGGAGGACGATAATGGAAGTTGATGAATCCATCGGTTTTACGCAGATTAGCTGTGGTATAATGTCCAGTGCGTAATCTTAACTCCGGTGTTTTTCGAAATTTTATAGTATCAGTCGCTATCCGATTCGAGACATTGTTTCGCATATTTACCTAATACAAAATAAATACAACTGATCACTGTTTGAAACTAACAGTATGCTTAAACTAGTAAAAAATGAAACAGCAATTTAAAATACGCAATAAAGAAATAGACACAATCTTTTTATTTTTAATATTAAATCAATGCTTAACAATATTACGTTACAATGACACTAGTAAACTAATAAAACAACTAAAATTATGCTTAAAGTAATTAAAATAAAGAAACAACATCTTTTAAAAACTGAGCATTTCTGTGAAAAAGAATTTCACTTTTCAATCCTCTGAGATATTTTTGCCTCAGTGAGAAGAGAAATAAAAAAATCTGGTTCACATTTACTTAAAAAGAAAAAAAAAAGAAAAAAAAACGTGATATATAGGTACTGTTGTAGAATTATGTCCTCTCCAGTTGCAATTACTAACCACATATAAGGTAAAATTGTACGTGGTATCGTACTTCATCCTGTGGAGCGTCAATTTTGTTTGACGCACGCAATGAAGTCCTTCCGGGATGCCACGGTGCTGCTGTTCTTTAGAGGAGGAACTCCCTTTTGTCGGATGCGGGTGAACGCGTAGAATATTTTGCGCGGCGCATAGTGTTAAAGGATGAGGCTGAGAGCCCGATGTCACGGCTAAACAGTAGTGCGACAAGTGGGGATCTATATTGCTGTAAAGATCAATGGATTTCTGTCGAATTCATGGCATAAATTAAATTGTGTAAGCCAATCTGAATTCGGTGGAAAAACGTTCCTCCGTAAACTTTATATTTCTTCAATGCATCGGTACTAAAGAAAATTTTTTTACTTTTCCTTTGAACATGAATTTGATGTGTTACTTTTTCTCTGACTATGAATTGACATTGTAATGATATCAATTATTGCATGCACCGTGTTCAGATAAATTTTAAAATATAATATTTCGGAAAAATTTGGCAATTTGTTTAATTTGTTGATAGTGTTTCCAGGTTGGACTGGATCGAATGAATTTTAGAACTTCTCTATTTCCATTTAAAAATTAATTAATTTATTTCATTTCATTTTTTCATTTCAATTTGCTTTTACACGATTTTCGAAGTATTGATATCATCAAGTCGTCCTTGCTCTTTAAAATGAAACTAAAAGAAAATATGTATTGTACAATTTCGTAGGAAACTTCATTACTAAAATATTAACAGATTTTTGTAATCTATATTTATCTTTCTTGCATCGAACTTATTAATTCGATTAAATTCAAGAAGTTGTTAAATACGTGAAAATTGTAAAATTATAAAAAAAAAAATTATAATTCACAAGTACAAAACAATTAACTAGAGTATTTATATACAGGCTGGTTTAATAAGAATTAATAACTTGAATGTCTCCGTGGTTTTTGGCAGTAACAATCTTTCATAGGAATTTCGGAAATTTCAAAATCGTCTTTTTTTTTAATAAAATCATGTTTTCTTTTTTGTTTGTTTACCAGTCGATACAGTTTGATATTCTCTATAAAAAAAAGTATTAACTTACGTGTGAAACTTTAATTTTGTAAAATCTATCATATAAAAGACGAGGAACGGTATTCCTCTGTTCATATTGTTCTCGTTTTTCATGCAATATATTTTATAAAATCAAACTAAAAATATTGAATAATTTTTCAATATACACAAGTTTTTATAGAAAATGCAAAGTTGCATTGATTAATGAATCAAAAAATGAATGATTTTATTTAAAAAACTGTAGGTGACTTTGAAATCTTCGAAATTCTTCAAACTACAAAAAAATTTATCATATTATAACCCTCTCTATATTGAACAACTATTTTCGTTAACAAAATTTTTTCATATCTCTAAAATCAATGGAGATATTCAAATACTAATTTTTATTGGACCACCTTGTGTGTTATTTTTATTTTTTTCAAAAATGTAATTAAAACCGATTATACTCGTATAGTGAATATAATAGCGCGTATAATTATTAATCGCATATAAATATTAAACCACAAGTATACTCATTGTATTTTAAATGTGTTCCAACGCAAAACATTGAAACAGAAATGGCAACACTAATGAAATCACATGATTTGAGTTAGCAGTGAATATGACGATTAAAAGTAAAATTCAAACGCACGCATATATATGTAAAAAATTCTTTATCTTGGATATGACATTCACATAATAATAGTACGTTTAAACTAAACAGACACTTGTATCTCGTTCATTTCATCCAAATTTGTGCTCGTATTCGCGTCGTTATACTAAGCGAGTGTTAATGTCATAAATAAGCATGAATTTGGCGAAACGGTGACTGAACGAGCATTTGTTTTGTTGGTCTAACACGAATGAGTTAGTTGAAGATCACGTGCATCAAAACTCCATTTATATAAACTGATTATGAGACAAATATTTTGTCTAATTGTATATATCACTGATTACAACAATAATAGAATAATAATACAAGTCCACTGATTCTTCCCTTATGAAACAGAGAATAATAATACAAGTAGAATAATAAAATAATAATACAAGTCCACTGATTCTTCCCTTATGAGACAAATATTTTGTCTAATTGTATATATCACTGATTATAATAATAATAGAAGAATAATACAAGTACACTGATTCTTCCCTTTATTAATGATTTTTTGTCCATATGGTAGAAATGAAGGTTCGAATGTGAAATAAGCTAGTTAGGTTGATTAACTGAAATTTGATCCAAACAAATGGAGTCCATATAAAACGGAGTTATAGTGGAAACAGAAATATGTTTTTCTCTATACAAAGTCAAATGCACGTACGTATGTCTAACATTTATAGAAAACTCCACTTTAAGTTTTCCAACGGCTTACATGTTAAAAAAAGAAAAAAAAAAAAATTATTAACAGTACCTTTTATTCCAGGATATTGTGAGCCGACGTTTGCTTCTTCGTTGCTGAAATCTTAACCAGCGGTGACGATTTTCCTTTTCGTTCACATACAATTCTGGAATATGGCTCAGGCTGCTTGACGTGGCGTATAGAAGCACCGTGCCCGGTGTCAAGTTTTGTAAATTGGCATCAGGAGGGTTCACGGATTTAATTTCGAACCAATAAAGACCAGCACGTGTCTTTGATATTGTGAAATTCTGATCCTCTGCACCCTCGTAAGTGAAAAGGGGAGAGCCTGGTTTCAAACTCTTCACTGGCCACCGTGTTTGCACTGTTGCATCGATTATGATACACTTTATCACAAACTCTCATTTGCCTTCATTCATATTTTAAGTTTTTTCGTCTTACTAATCTAATTTCTTTTAATTTTCTATTGGTCGTTTTAGATAAACATAGAGCTAACAAAAATTTTGTAAAATATGATCGTTCCGATAAAAAGAAATTTCGAAAAAATATTCAATAGTTGAATATTCTAGTAAATATTCTAGAAACTATTTAAATATGAATTTATATGAGTTTAACTTTTATTTATATATGTATAATCCGTACTAGAATATTGTACAGATAACCTAAGGTGTATAAAATAATTAGTTCATTTATTAAAGATACAAAGAGATTAATGTGTTACAATATATTGAATGTATTAAAAAATATATGTTTAAAGAATGCTTAATCTGTTGTATGCTTTGAAAGATTAGAATTCATTAAAAAATAATTGTAAAAAAGTATATGAAATAATGATTATATTTGAAAGTATTCATTTATAATTAAAGCAACTATATTTTTATAACTAAAAATAAGAAATGGTGGAGAGAAGTATTATGTTCAAAAGATAGTTATAGTTAAGTTTTTATTTAAGAAAGTGTATTTCCCATCATTTGAAAAAAAAAATCAATAAGTTTTAAATTAGTGCAAAATTTAAAGATTAAAGATTAGCGTTGAATAAAAATTTTTACTGGTTAATTAATGCAAGTAATTATATTGTATAGAGTAAATATAAATAAAAAATATAGTAAATAATATCACAATAATAATGTAGCTTGTTAAATATTCGAAAAGATTTTACGATATTTTATATATATTTATCCAACGTTACGTAAATCAGTAATGAAAATCAGTAATGAATATATAATCAATAAATATATTCAGAAAAATGAGGAAATATAATTAGCATTGTTAATATTTATATTTTCACATATGTATTAAATGTTTCATTTATTATAATTGAAAAATTAACTTCCAGCAGAACTTTGAATATCATTCTTTTAAGTAGCCATCGATTTCTGACAAATTTGTATCAAATAACAAAAATTATTTAGTGAAGACAATACGTGTCAATTGCATTCAATCAGGAAAATCTTAAATGGCATCGTTATGTTGTATTCGAGATATGTACATCTAAAGTAATTCTATATTTCTAAAACATTTTATTTAAGTAAAATATTAGTAGAACTTCTTAAACAACAAAATTTTGTATCTTTGTTTTTTGATAATGCAGAAGTAATTATTTCAAATTAGTTAAGAACTAAATGTTATAAATATCTGTTATAAATATGTTCTTAATACTTCTTATTGATTTATTTGGATATTCTAGAGTTATAATAAAGATACTAATAGGTATTAATACTGAAAATATTAATTAACTTTGTTCTTTAAAGTTTTACTGAATATATCAAAATATAAAGAAAAACAATTGTATTTAAGAAAGAAATTATCACATTTGACATATGTGAGAAAAATATAAATCTATAAAATATAAAATTATTAAAAACGACATTATTCTTCACCATTTCTTTCTATCAATTAATTGTGATAAATAAATTTAACCTCTAAGTGGTGTTATTAAATACTTATAATATAAAAAATATATTGTGCCAAAAATTTGTGCTTTACATTGCTTAATTTTTAGATTTTTGATTCGATTTAATTTCACGACTAATCTCTATCTAGAAAAAAATGTAAATTACGAAATAAAATTAAATAATTCGAATTTTTGTAATACAAATTATTACAATTATACCATTGTCGCCTGTGATTGTCTAACGCCACTTAAGGATTAAATTAATTTATCATAAGCTTTGTTCTTTTAAAAGAATATGGTTGATTTGATTCACAGATTAATTTTAATATATTTTAGTTACAGGGTATCCCAAAAGATGAAGACTAAACTTATACTCTACTATAAGTAGATAAAAGAAGATCATATAAACCTATGTTCAAAAATGCTTCGTTTGAAAGGTGTCATAAGGTGTCAAAAATTTTTATTCATTGTTTCAAAATTTCTTCAAGAGTGTAGCTTCTATTCGTCGAATTCTTTCGAATATTCCTGTTGTGGAAATAATAGAAATCTTGAATACATGTCCAAAGTTGATTTTCTATTTTCATTTCATTTTCACAAACCAACTATTTCGCGTGACTCCACAAATAAAGGATCATAGGACTTGGATCTGTTAATATCGCGATTGATCCAACATTAAGGGAATTTTTGATTAAGAAATTCACGTACATTCTATTTAAAATAGTGCAATTCACATTTGGAAACGCGTTGTCAACGGAACATTCGTGTCTGTCTGTGATTCTATATGTAACAAGCCTTAAGAACAACTTCCTCTTGAAAATCTTTACAAAACGCTTGTAATTTTACAATGAAGCATTTTCGGACATCAATTTATATGAATTCTTTTTCTTATCCATTTGAATTCATTAACACAGAGTATGAGTTTCGCCTCTCGGAACATCCTGTACAAAAAATAATTCTCCGTACATTTTACTCCTTCCGTTTCTTCAGCATTCTCCGGTGGTTCCACGTAACTGACCGTCCATGATATTGGCCCACTACAGGGACTAACGAGTAATGTGAGAGGTGGTCCTTCGCGTGGACTCAAGTAGTAGAACCTGCAATAATTTCATCTGCATCCAGTATGATATTAATGTTCGATACGTATTAAATGTAACCAAACACAAAGCAGTATTTTAATCAGACGATGTAAAAGATTCGTTTTTCAAAAAAAAAAGATACGATTCCTTTTTGGTATTATAATCCTTTTAGGAAGAAACTGCGTAAAAATGACAGATAACTTAAATTTTTAATATTAACAGTAATAAGGATATTTAAAGAAATTATATATTACTTTAAACGTTGTATTTTATAATACAATAAAAAAATTTCTTAGGAGAGATCAAAAATTTGACCCATAATTAAGTCTAAAGATCTATTCTTTTTTTTTCAGTAGAACCTAATCTTAATATTAGATACACAAAAATAATATCAGCTATAATGTTAGTTTATCCTTAAAATTTTATTCCATATGTATGCGAATGTATAATTTTACAAGAAATTATAATTGTACAAGAAATTATTTAAATTACTCAAGATTAGCGAAAAAATTGCTCATATTATTGTAATATTGTTATAATATTATTTATTTGATAACATATTTAATGTTTTCCTTCTCTAGATATCATCATTTATAATTGTCATTTATAAATTCGGCAATAAATTGATTACATTATCAATTATATAAGTAATAATAAACAATATGAATAATGCGAATCGCAAAGGCGGAGGATCGTTAAACAAATTGATATTCTTACAATGTTATAAATTTTATAATATAAAATGCCTATCCAAGAAAATGAAAAGAGGTATATAAAATAAACCTCATAATAGAGAATTACTGTAGAAAATAATAAATTCTCTGAACGTACGCAAACTTTGATAACTAATCATTAAACATTACGAACGAATCAGGTTTATAAGTATTTTTAAATTCAAATTCGTCAGAGAAATTAAGCAATAAATTTCATTTTTATGAAAGTAATTTATTTCTGCATTTATATTTTTTGAAATTTTATTTATCCATTATTTTATACTATACGTTTTATTATTATACTTCGACACCAGTACGAAACGGTCCATTTGTACAAATTATTAATTTTGAACTCTCTATACTCTACAATATGTTACGTAACTTGAAAATTATATATCCATAGTCATGTTTCATCTGCTTGTTCTTTCATTATTGTGTTTCGTCGGTACAATATCACTAAAATATCAAATAATTCTAACAAATATTAATTATCCAGGTTTAACATTGGAACAACTAGCTACGATTAACTAGTGAGTCTTTCTCCCTCTAATTGTAATTAAAATTCTGTTAATAAATTAACTTTCAGATCGAAATATTTGTTCGCATAAACGAATAAAAGAGAAGAGGCGTGAAAATACTGTGCATGTCAACGATGTGTCAGCCAAAAGTTAGCGACGACGAGGCACCTTCACACTAAACCTTCCAGAATCCAGCAACAAATAATTTGAATAACCCTCTTGAATAACAATAGAGTGCAAACTTCAATGAATACACACATACGCGCGTGCACGCGCGTATAAATGGATATACAAATGTGGCGTGTCGTTTATATTTAGTCAAAATGTTTGATCGTACAAAAGTTCCCCCTTCAAAGATCGTACCGGTTAAGTTTATGCCTCGACACAGCCGTCGTTGTTACTCTCTTTTTCTTTCTCTTTCTCTCTCCGTTTCGTTCCAACAAGATCTGCCCCTCCCCTTCGCTGGTATCCCCGTCGTCGTCGTTGGTTTCGTACGTCGCGTCGTCACAAGCTCATCCCGTAGTTAGTGTAGTCCGCGAGAGCGTCGGGACGCTCGCGCCACACGTGCTCTTCGTTCACGGCCTGGCACTGAAACGGCTATTGTAAAATTAGCGTCTACACACAATGCCGGCGTCGCGGCGTCTGGGGTCGCGCATCCACGACCCCCGTCGTCTAATTTTGGCGTTTGGTTTGTCCCGCGACAGGCTCGAATTGATTCTGTCATTCGGCCGGCAGCGCGAGGCCGTCTACCGACTTTCGTGGAAATCCACGCCAATAGTAGAGCCTGCGACGCGTGGCATCGCGACGCCTTCTCGCACGCGCCTTTCAGCCTAGACCCCCACTTCCCAGGAAACGTCGCGACCTTTCGCTTTAACGCACGCTAACCGAGACACACCGGACGACGAACCCCGGCTGAATGAAGTTCCTGAGAAAGGTAGCGCGGCGTGCTTATATTCCTCACCGTTCAGTTCAATCCCCGTTCAATCTTCGTTGCTTCGTTGTATATCGATCTAAGTATCTACTCACTTGCATGCTCGTTACTTTCGATTCAATCGATCGTCTCTCTCTCTCTCTCTCTCTGTCTCTGATTAACGCTAGAAATAATGTAGAAAAATTCGAGTCAAAGAAATTGGAATACAAGGAGTAGAATACGATTGCGAACGTGAGCCTTTATTCATATATATTTTGTAAAAATCACTCGAATTTCTAAGAAATGTAAATCCGCGAAAATACTCTAAAAAATTATAAATTGGTCATTTTGACTCTGCATTGGTAGTTCTAGCGAACGTGAGCCTTTATTCATATATATTTTACAAAAACCACTCGAATTTCTAAGAAATGCGACACTGTAAATTACCGCAAAATTACTCTAAAAAATTATAAATTGGTCATTTTGACTCTGCATTGGTAGTTCTAGCGAACGTGAGCCTTTATTCATATATATTTTACAAAAACCACTCGAATTTCTAAGAAATGCGACACTGTAAATTACCGCAAAATTACTCTAAAAAATTATAAATTGGTCATTTTGACTCTGCATTGGTAGTTCTAGCGAACGTGAGCCTTTATTCATATATATTTTACAAAAACCACTCGAATTTCTAAGAAATGTGACACTGTAAATTACCGCGAAATTACTCTAAAAAATTATAAATTGGTCATTTTGACTCTGCATTTCTAGTTCTAGCGTTAATCTCTTGCGCTAGAGGCTGATTCACGGACCGTAACGAGTGACCAAACTGTATACAATAATTCGCCTTCTTTTTTGAATTCATCGGTATATCACCGGATAGAAATGACTAGGAAGTAATAAATTTATTATTTGTTTTGCCCGGGTTATATTTCAATGTACTTGAAACAGAAAAAATATTGCAATTTTGGGCAAAAGTCTCTGAAATTTTCTTACGACTTACGATTGTGATTATTAATCGCAGTAGTACAGCCGATGATTACGCGTATGCATTAAACGGAGATTATATTATCGAGTGCAGTACTCTTAGTATTTCCGAATCTTCCGACAGGAAGTTTTTGTACGTATATGTTGAAACAAAATGAGTTAATAAATGGTTAATTAAATTTGCATACTACCCAGTTATCGGATAAAGCTATTTGATTCGAAAGAAGAGATTAAGATATGAAGTAGGGATGGATTCGAAACTGATCTTTAAATTCACGGAATTTTTAATCCGAAACTTTTAGCCTCTTGCGCTGGGAATGACGTGCCGCGCAAGTCGAGAATATTTGGCCCAAAATTGCAATATTTTCTGAGTTTCAAGTATGTTGAAATATAACCCAGGCAAAACAATTAATAAATTTATTACTTCTTAGTAATTTCTATCCAGAAATATATCGATGAATTCAAAAATGAAGGCGAATTATTGTATACGGTTTGGTCACTCGTTATGGTCCGTGAACCAGTTACTAGCGCGAGAGGTGAAGATTTCGAAACTTTCGAAACTCGGAACTTTTAAAGCTTATACTGATTTTATTTTACAAGTGGAATTTCTTGTTTTAAGAACCTGGAGTTAATACCTTTGTATTAATTTTTATTGGCCATAGTTGAACAAGAACATGACACAACGTACAAAAATATGCACAATGCAGATTCTTGTTAAAAACATTTTTTTCAGAATATACCTATCGACAGTTTTTTGATAATTTTTTTTTAGATTTGAATATTTTGCATTATCATTTCAGAATTACGATTGATTGCACATCTGCTTGTAACTTTAAAAATAAAAACCGCGTTCGCAAAGCATCTCACATCGAACATTCGAGATACACATACGAGTCAAACATTCTTTATTCACGCTGCGAATTATTCTTTATTCATTGTTATACTTTTTATCTGACAATGAGTTACGGAAGTTTTGAATTCTCAAAAGTCGAAACTTTTTAGAGAATAACCTATTACTGATATAAAGATAATACAATCATAATTCAATTAACATAACTCTGTTCTTGATATTTTTGATAACTTGTAAGTGGTAGTGATTAGTGAATGAATTAAGATAGTATTTTAGTAGTAATTGTATAATCTTCCATTTGGTCATTTAATGTGTAACGTTAACTTATAACAATATTTTTTAGTTCATGTAACGAATTTTAATTTGTCATGCACTTGAAATTGTTGAGCCTGTTAATGTACCTGCTAAAAAGTTAAATATACATATGTTAAGTTCAAGTTCAGAGCAATTGTGGAATTAGACTTAGCGTATGAGTTTTGTGGAAACTATCTGCTAATGTATGATGCATAGTGTCGCGACGCATTGGATAAATGCAACAAAATAGAATTATAGACGATAATATTGCCAGAAGAAAGCATATTAAAAACCATTTTACTTACATTATAAACATCAAAAATATTTTGTATAACAAACAAAATAATAATGAAAAGTATCGATCATTTAAACAATTTTTAATGAAAATAATTAATTCACTGCAATTTGCTTAGAAAAAGAAAATAGAAGAAGTATATCATAATTAATTTTAATAATTTTAATTCTTTAATACTTAGAAATATTCCAATAAAATTAATTGAAATGTTTTCACAAGTATCTATTAATTATTATTATTATTATTTATTTTATTTGAGATTGCATTTGTATGATTATTAGTGACCGCAGTCAACAAAATACATTAACGCAGAAAGTGTTGAAAGGTATAAAAATAATAGATAAATTACAAACTTATTAGTATTTATAGAGCTAATTTAATCTAATAATTGAATATTTAATTTTAATTTAATAATACAATATGACACGCGTTAATAGATATATAATTTAGTAAGGAATTTTTATCACATGAAGAAACACATTATTAGATACCTAATGTTCCATTTTCATAACTGCAGAGAACTTAAAATAATTTGAATAATTATGATTTCTGGTATAATTTTAATAATATGAATAATTTAATATAGGTGATTAGAATGCTTTAACAAATATTATGCAATATATTAAACAGATTAATGAATCTATAATAATTATTGACTTATGACATTAATGTTTAGAAACTAATTTTCCGATAATTTCATACGTGTTTAAAATTTCTTATAGTCCTTATAGTATATTTTTATAATAATAAAAAAATTTGAAAATAATATATAGAAGGAAGGGTCGTTAAATTGTTCAATTAAGATGATATTTTCATTATAAGACAATAACTAACTAATTCATGAAGTTCATTTAATATAATGCAATATAATATATTAATATAAATATAAATGTAATACATTATAATAATATAATAATTATATTTGTATTAATATATTGCATGTTATTTTTGTATTAAATATAATATATTAACATAAAAATATCAGAACTGCAGAGTATTATTTATATTAATTACAAGAAATACATAGAGTAAATTTCACATGAAAATATTCAATGGTAAGTTTAATTTACGAAATGAAAATATACGGCAAGTATCTACCGTGATAAATAAAACATTTCTTATAAAAAAATGACATAAGAATATAACACAATGAGTATAATTTTTATTAAAATTCATTCGTTAAAAGTCATCAAAATTAATAAAAACACATATATTTAATTAAATGTTATATTGTTTTTCAAGTATTTTCTGATACATTATTGCTAAAATAAAGAATATATTCGTTCTGTGAATAAAACGATAGATTCTTCACGAATAAAAATGTTTAATACGGAAAAATGGAAAATTTCATATGTACATGATGAAATATAGGAAATATAGTATATTGTACAAATATATATCATTTAACATTATAATACAAAATAAAGCTTGAAGTTGATTTTTAATTTTGAAAACTATGAAAATGAAATTAATTAAAGAATTGTGAGAGACTAAAATTGAGACTATGAGAGAGTTAAAGAATAACTTTGAATTGATATTGTTCCGATTAGGCTAACATTTTCATTTATCATTTCAATTTATCATTGTTAAATTATAACACAGTTCAACTCCAATAAAATAAAATAAAATAACTCCATTTAGTATAAATTTTAAACTATATTTTGTGTTTATTTTAACTTTCTCTGGATTCTTTTTTAACTGCTTTAAATTATATTTTTTAAGAATTAGTACGGCCAAGAAATGCTGCAACGAAGTTTCAAAGCATAATTTCAATAAACAGACTGCCGCGAAAGTTCAAATCATTTGAACCGCAGTTCATGCGATGCAACGAGAATTATATCATCTGCCCGTAATTCGAGTCAAATTGCATTCGTAAAATCTGTGCTACGGTTGATGAAACATGGTACGAGATTCGTGACGTTCTCGTATAAACGTTCAAAGCTCCATAGGCTTGGATACACGTGCATCGAATAAACAAGCTATGTAACCCAAACGAAATTCGCACGAATTGTTTCTATGGTTCAGCGAAAAGTGAATGCACCTTTCTTACGGGTCCGTTTATCTTTAGATCAAAGTACTTACTAAAAAAAAAAGAAAAAAAAAAAGAAGAAGAAAAAGAAAGAAAGATAAAAGATTTTACTTCCTTACGGTACAAAAATGCACATCGAGTGACAATGAAAATTTTAGGAGTAACTCGATTATACAATTCGAGTGATCTATGTACGTATAATCTGATTCGTAGTCTGTATTCTGTACTATGAATAGGATCTGGAACATGTCTCAGATGAAAGATTTCACTTTTAATATGTCTGGCTCTAATAAAACGTGATTTAAGTTACCAATTGTTCTTTCGTACACGAATGATAGTTGTGTAGATGAACTAGTGGTTTCTAAGATACATTAGTCATTCTAGTGTATCTCGATACTCGATAGTCAGAAGTGTAATACGTTCTCGGTAATGTAATCTACGGGTATCTACGTTTCTATTATATTGCCCGGCCAAAGGATTTGGCATTCCAAGTGAATTGGATTGTAACGTAATCCGTGTTACTTTGGTGTAAAATAATTCGTTTCATAACGGAAGCAAATGGAATACCATTCGTAGAAGGAAAAACCGAAAGGTATAAATTAAAGGTATAAATTTCATTGTTCATAAAGACAATCACGTTTAACTAATTTTCTAAAAGAAACAAGTTCACGTGTAGATCAAAATGATCATTTTTACATTGCGGAATAAATCAAATGATTTATTCGAAGTTACAAGATACTTAACACACACACACACATATATATTACATTTCGCTTATATGTGGGAGAAACTCAAAGATAGAAATTCACACATCTTTCAAAAGAAATTAAAATTTAACATATAGAATAACAATGAAGTGATTTAATGAGGGAACAAAACAGAAAGATTTGGTACATTCTATACACACACACACACACGATTTTTAATTTCAGAGATTAAAACTCAAAAGTCGCCAATTATAAAGTCGCAAACGACTTATTTCAAACGATAATACGCTGTGAAATTCCTCTGAAATTGAAAAATCAGTGAACTTCAGAGAAAAAAAGATTCAAAAAAGATATTTTTCTTAATTAACAACGACGCGTGTCGTTGAAACGCTTCGTCGCGGTCAGGTTGAAGATTTCTCGCAAGCGAGTGGAAACCTGGTGAAATCGAAGAAAACACGGTGAACAGAGATACTTACTGAGATACGTTACCGGGGCGAAGAGTGGCCGGTATCAGGTACTCGGGGTGCAGCACGCCAGTCCTGTTGAACTCCTGCACCCTGGTCGGTTTCTCGGCACCGAAGGGCCTCGGGCTGCCGATCGTTTTGTACCCCTGTTGTTGCTGGTGCGGTTGCTGCTGCGACAACTGCTGTAGCTGGCGCAGTTGCAACTGTTGCTGGGAGAGCTTTTCGCAGAAAGCGCAACCGGTGGCACGTCGCGCGTACACTGACACAAATACCAGGAGGTAGAAGAAGAAGTAGAATAAGCGGAGCGGTAGCGCGTGACGCATCGTGGGCACCGATTTTCCTCAGCTACGAGAATGTGAAAATATCTGGGGATAAAAAGGGCGACGACGACGACGCCGCGACGTCCGTCGTCCAGTGGCGAACGAGTTCGACTGTGTGCCGAACGGTAGACGATGCCAGTCGGCAAGCGAGGCTGCCGCTTGGGAAACCACGCTGAGACGAAACGAAATAACCCCTCTTCGCTTCCTACCGAGGCGACTACGTGTTTGCCCCATCTTCTGGAAGGAACCCTCCTTCCCCTCCTCGTCCTTGCCTCCTTTCCCTTACTCTCAACCCTGCCTCGTCCCCCACGACCGACCAAACCGTACACTCGTTACATTTTGCCGTGTACGTGCTAGCGTCGATGCACGTGTGTATACACGTATGTACGTGGGTGACCCTGATTCCACCGGAATTTTAGAGGAACGAACGCTTCGCGGGGTCCCCGCCAATTTGTTCACTGAGATTAACAGGAAGTTCGAGACCTGCCGTCCTCGAGGGTTGTCCGTGGCTTTTACCACCATTTGACGCTTTCTTGACGTGTTCTTCCTCGTTTACCGTGACCTTTAGTCTCGACGTAGGCTATGGACGCGACGGATTTATATCTCCGATTATGCAAAGCTATCGGACTCGTCGACGAGCGTTTCAACCAAATGTTTCCTTAATTCCTAAAATAGACGAATAGATTCACTGAGTTTGGATTATGCGTGAAACCGTTTGTTTTTTGCGGTGTGACGTACGTATGTAAGTACGTGCAGCAGCCACGTACGTACAGAAAATGATAAGTCGAAATCATCGAAATCATCTGACTTGCAATTGAGTACCACGGGTAAAACTGATGAAACTTTGAGCATTCCTGCTGCGAGCACGTCAAACGCGTATCGCGTATCATGTGTATCGGCATTCACGACGTCGTTGTAATTAGCAGCCTGAGAAAAAAAAAAAGAAGAAAAAAAAAAAAAGGAGAAATTCAAGGCGATTTTCTACGAAAAGGCAGCTATGCCGCGTTATACCGCTAGCGAATCAGCTTTGGAATAAAACGGTACCGTTCGATAAAACGGTGTCCTTGGTTGACAAAGAGAGAAAAAGAAAAAAGGAAAAACAGGAAAAAGAGAAGAAACAAAGAAAAAAAGAGTAGCGGTGCGTGCTACCTACGCAGAGATAATGCCGGTGACGTAGATAAGAAAGAAGTAATTATTAAATGGCGACGAGAAGCGGCAGATATCAGGCTACATAAGGTAAAACAAGGTGGATGGACGGTTGTAGAGCGGCATCAAACGAGGCCTTCCTGTTTCGCCGGGGTGCGAGGAAAGAAGGAGTCGATATGGCGCGAAGATCGTGCAGAAAGGGAAGTTATATACGGTACGCTTCGCTGTATCTTGGACCAACCATGGGACGATGATGACAGCAGGTCTGGCGGGTGGCAGGCCAATAAATCATGGCTTACAGTGTGGGAACCTCTGCCTATATGTTGCTCTCTGCGTGTATGGGGTATGCCATCAGTAAAACCTTTACTCCCGTGAGTTGATCGCAGGGTGACCGTACGTCGTACGTGTATATATATATAACTCTTTCTCTTTCTCTCCCAATGCTCGAGCCCGTTCTCTTCGATTCCACACTCTTCAACGGTGCATGCTCGGGCCACCGCCCGCGTGTAGCAACACCAAGAGATGAATATGCTGGTGCAGGCGTTGCGTCCTGTGTAGGTGTACATCCTTATGAATACATCATACATTGTTACCAAGAGGAGGCACGATGTATCTCGGGTAATCAGTAACGGTGCAGCGGTTCATCGAGATCAGCCTTTTTCGGTAATCACTTCTTTCCCGATGCTCTCTCGCGATCGTTGCCATTCAACTGTGTCAGCGATATTGTATTTATACCCGAAGGTCCGCCATCCATAAACAGCGGATACGCTTGCTAAAAAATGACTGCTCGAAACGCTGTACATAAATCGACATTGTTATATTACATCGGGTTTAACATCGGTCATCCTTCTTTTTTTGGCAAAGAAATTCGGCCGAGTCGATAGAGTCGAAGACATTTCACGTGCGGTCTACCGGGTGGAAAATCAGAAAACTTTATCTGCAATCGACATCGGCTATCGATACTTTTGTATTTGTTAACTACAGATACTACGAGGCACGTGTAATCGTAAAAGAAAAAAAAAAAAAAAAAAGAGAACAACGACGTAGGATCATCGTGTAAGATGAGCAACGAAACGAACAGCGTGTGATATTTCTTATGCAAATTCTTGCGCGAAAGAAACTGCGCATGAACAAATTCATGCGAACTTACAATTAATGGAAAAAGTACGCGTCGAGTTATTCGCGCAATGCGGCACCTCCTTCGTTATGTAACAGTGTAACGTAATTCATAAAAAGGGACACGTTTCATTTCGTGATTCAACAGGATCAGGTTCCGAATAGTACAGACACCGAAGGTGTATCGAAAAAGAAAGGACGGGAATAAAGGAGAATTGTTCGAAGAAGCAAAATGATAACAAGGAATAAAAACAGTTGTAACATGGTTTCCTCGGGTTTTTTGATGAGTTTTGATCAGTGCTTTTAACGTTATATTCCCTTTTCGCTTTTTTTTTTATCATCGAAAAGTTCTTTGTAGATATTTGAATAGCTGTTATAATTGTTTGCTATATTGTATAACTTTGTTAACGATAATTCGTGCACATGTTGCATAGAATGTATATGCAAGCATTTTTGTTGTTTCGATGTATTTTACTTTTGTACAAATGTAAACTATAATGTGTATAATGAATTGGAGCTTTTCTGTTGTTAACAGAATACGAAAAGTTGACTTTGTAAGTAATTTTTTTTGTAAATAATATTTTCCAGAAATTTTATCGTTGTTTGATTGTTTTCTAATTTTAGTGTACGTTAATGTTATGTTGGCAAATAATACCTGCGACATTGTTTGAGTTCAATAAAAATTTTCATTTCTTAATAACTTTCTGTGATCTTTGTGTGAATATATAGTATATATATAGTTACGTGAATATTTTAAAAAAATATTATAAGATAATCTAATTTTTATCTTTTTTAATCTATTTTTATAACTTATTTTTTCGTTTATTTTTTTAAATAAATAATTTACAAGTTGATATAAAATTACATTGTATTTAAATATATAAATGTTTTTTGACAAAAGCTTTTTAAGAAACGATTTGAGAAATATAGTAATAATTCTTGTGTTTGTATTTTGCCTGACAATTATTTTTCTTTTATACCGTGAATGTTTAAAAATTTATTTATCAATAAATCAATTGTTGTATAGATTTACGTGAATTTTATGTTCTAAAATGTCCATTTTCGTACTTCTTATAAACAATATATGTATGTATAATATATACTATATAAAGTAAATTCACGGTTTTTTTGTTAATTAGTTTTCAACACACTGATCGAATGTTTTCTGATAGATACTTGTTGCTAATTAAAAATGCTAATTAAAAAAAAAAAAAAAAAAAATGGAACAAATATACATATAGTAGTTCAAACGTTCAATTTATCTCATCATCGAGTACAGATAAATAACAACGGGTTGAAGCTACATATACCTGCAAGACAGAATGAAAAACACCGTTCGTTATTCATACGATTTCAGAAGATAAATTTAATATTATTCAGATCTCGGGCAATTAATTTCGGTGAAAATTTACACAGGGACAACAAAGTTGCAGAGTTGTCGCCGCCGAGTGCCGCGTAATTTCAATCTCGAGAACATAGTCTCCATTAACTTTTTTCGAGCACTTGTGTGTTTCCGGCTTAATTGCCTTTCTACTCTTTTTCCTTTTTATTTTTTCCATTTTTTCATCAGACTGGTTCAGAGCAACAAAATGGTAGATACTCTGTGATCGTTCATATATTGGATTCAAAGTTTCGATATCGAAACCGCCGGTCTCAATGAATAACGGCTTCACTTTAAAGAAGTTAAAAGTCTTCTGCTGGTTATTTTAATAGCCCGAGGATATATGTGGACGTCGATGATCTATACCTGCAACATTGTGGCCCATGCCTTGCATATAGAGCCAATGTGTTTGCGAGCTGATCAAAATCAAATCAGATCGCGAGCTAAAATTGATTGCATCCGAATTCCCAGTAATTTATATATTGGATCTGATCGTTTTTTTTTTTTATGACGTTCATTGTTCCTTACGTACTTGCTTCCTTGTACTTTAAGCAAGTGAATGAAGTTTATCGCATGATTATACTTTTTATCGAGGAGCAAGTTTCCAGTGACTGTCGTGAATTTGTAAATCAGCAATTGCGTGTTTGCAATGGCAATTTTTATAAAAGAGTTAATTTTGTTATCACTTTGCTTTGTTTTTTCTTTCTTTTTTTTTTTTTTTTCATAGTAGAAAACTTCATTGTCGAGGAGGATTATCTTTTATAATAAAGATATCGTTACTGATATATGAAAAGCGAGTATAATAAAGAGTGATACTATCATTTGACATGTTATTCTTGAACGATACAAAATTATTTCTGCCGATTCTTTTACATGAAAACCACTCTGACCAGTTATTTCGATCTTCCATTATGGAAACTATTCAAAATGAAATAATGTCTATACGCAAAACTTGTCGTATGTATCTTCCGTAATTTCATCCGCACATAAGAATAATATCCTTTATTAACAATATACAGTTACGAAACATATTTGTGATTTATTACTGAATGTTATTCCTTTATTTAACTGTATTCTGCTATCGTATTTTATTTGTCAATTTTCTCTGACATATTTCGCAAGGGCAAACTACTTTTATACAATAAAAGAATCATAGATCATCAAAAGAATCATAAATTACTGTCTATCGATATTTATGTTCACTGTTTTATAATCACTAAAGGAATTAAAAATTTTTCTTTTAAATTTTCGGCGATTCTTATTTCTCATCATCCATACTGTTTCCAACCATATTAAATTAAGGTACTTTGAAATGATCTGTTTCAATGGACTGTTTAAATAACTAACTAGAAATTTAATCTGACATTAGATTAAAATATACAAATATATTTTTATTTTCATATATTTTATTATATTTATGTATATTTATTATTATAGACGACATATATTATATATTGTACGTCATTATTATATATACATATATTATTTATCTTTCTTTTATATATAATATTATATTAACTAATAATATTAATCATAATTAAATGAACTAAAAATATAATTGATAGAAAATAAATGAAAATTTTAGTATATAAAACTACTGGTTGCAATTGATATA